CTGGTATAAATAATTAGGAGAGGGCTAACTGATTGGTGGCTACAATCGAGGCGCGAGTGAAATTCAATCCTTAAACACACAGTGATAGTAGTTAACTTTATGGCTAGGTGGCGTGAGCCACCGCCCGACCTAAAGGGCACAGCCGGATACATCCATCCATCCATCCGTTTTGGCAGTGGAGGCGGAGAGAACAGGAGAGGGCTGGGAACCAGCTTTTTGGCTCAAGTCGCAGGCACCTTTCTAGAGAAGGCGTTGTTCATGCATACTCATGTCACGGCCACTGGATGAAAGTGTGTGCTTTTTCATCCAGTGGCCGTGCTCATGCGTAGCCATGGCGGCCATTTTGTTTTCATAAATGTGGGTGTTATTTCCACTATATTATGAACGGATAGTTAGGCCTTGAAACCAAATCAAAAAACGAAAATGAGTCCCCAGGTCGCGTAATTGCATTGTACTACTTAGTATCTGAAACCGGTCGAGCGGCAGTTGCGATTTCCCAAGTCTCACACATCTCTACAAACAAACAAATATAGGAGGGTTCTGTAGTTTGCCTCTACCGCCATGTCACTACAGAACACCCATAAACTACCAGTGGTCTGGGCGCGTCCTAATTAAAGCGGTGAGCGGCAGTGAGAGGTGGTATGCGTGCCGCTACCAACGTGGTGAAATGCGACTGGGTGCTTATGCGTGTGACTTCCGAGGTGCGGCGAAACTTCGCTACGAACATAAGGTTCACCTTTGCGGCGGATATCGACCTGTTCGACTTCAGCAAAGATGAAGTCGTGTCTGATGTGAAGTGTTATTCCCGAATCGAGCTCACGGACATTAGGGACCACCTTGTTGGCGGCACAAGCTTCGCAACAAGGAACAAGCTTAAAGCCTATAAATCGATGGACGCCCACAACTATGTGACAAGCGGATGGGTCCTACAGCACCGAATTAGAGACACCGGAGACGGCCGCCGCGTCGTCGTCAGAAACGTGACTGGTTCCCCGACCCCTTGCTCAGTGCTCGGACGAATAACGTTTGTCGCCGCGATGGTGTCACTTCCCGAATTCTTTGTGTGGAAGGACTTCGCTGTTTGCAAGAGCATGTGAGCTAGGTGATGCAATGTGCATAGTTCGTTCGTGGTTTAGCCCAAGCCGCTTGCGACCAAAAATGCTGTTTGCTGTAGAGTCCAACGAGCACGTCGCAAAAACCTAAGTTTTTCACCACAAAAGCAACGTCTATGATGTTGCATTGGTTCTGAACACTACCGGTAATAGAATGTTTAACGCACACGTGGTATAGTGTGGCTGAGCCATCCAAACCTTTTCAGTTGGTTTACAACCACTTTAGTTATAGAAAAAAAGTCGACATCACGCGCATTCTCATGACCAGGCTTCTTACTCGAGTGGGTGTAGCAACCAAATAGGGCACAGTTCACCATTATGACCACAGGAATCTCGCACGTGCACCCGTGAGTCATGCGAATGCTTGCCGGCGGCGGCCGGGGGAGAGACCACCAAGATGGATACGCTGCCTCTTCGACGAAGGCGCTACAGTGTACTAGAACACTTCTAGTACACTCTACTGCCGCCATCTCGTAGGCCACGCCCCTGTGCAACCAACGCCACTGCTCCCGAGTAACGAATCCAATGACTGGTTTTTAAATTGCGAAGCATTTCTTGGCAAACTTCGGTCGGTCGGTCGGTCTATCTATCTATCTATCTATCTATCTATCTATCTATCTATCTATCTATCTATCTATCTATCTATCTATCTATCTATCTATCTATCTATCTATCTATCTATCTATCTATCTATCTATCTATCTATCTATCTATCTATCTATCTATCTATCTATCTATCTATCTATCTATCTATGCATCTAGCCACCTACGACTTTTAGCTCTCCTGGCCGTTTGGATAATTGTATCAATACCAAACTTGGTATGACATAAGATAACTGTATGACGATCATAACTTACTAGTCATAACATTAAAACCATGACATGTATGTCATAAATGTCATGAGTTACACCTCATGGTCTTGCTGCCCTTCCGGTGCTTTCACTCGCATATGTTGCGAAACTGGTGTGGTATGACATGACTGCATGGCGAACGCAAGCGACAGATCCTAACATCAAAATCATGACATGCGCGTCATGTAACGACATGACTACATGCCACACTCACGATGTGCTCGCGGCCGTTTCGCTAGCTTCTCATGAACCAAATTCGTTAATACGTGACGTGAACGAATGACGAAGGTATATGACTGGTGCAGACATGATAATCATGACATGGGTGTCATGTGACAACATGACTACGTCCCATGCTCATGATGCGCTCGCGGCCTATTCGCTACGTTCACATATGCCAAAATTTTGTATACGTCACGTGAATGGATGACGGAGGTATGTGACTGGTGCAAATATGACAATCATGAGATGCGTGTCAAGTAGGAACATTAATACACGCCACACTCAAAGCACCAATACACTTCGACGTGCGCCGGCGTTTCTTTTATCGCGTCACGCGGGCGTTGCCATGTCAACGCTGATATTTCCCTAGTAGAGATCAGTGGATCTGCGCACTGACCTTCATTGTGGATCTGCATGCCATATACTCGCAGGCGCGCGCCGCGTTGCCTTGACGCACGCGCTTTAGCGCACACGGCGTACCTCCGTCACGAAGAGAGGCAGACGCGGTGCTACAGTGTAAGTACACTCTAGCGGTGCTGTCTAAGTAGCGTCGTCGGTGCGATATGCCGCATGTCGCATTTCGCGCCGGTTGCCACCGGGCCGCACTGACGGACGCTGGTCGCACCTGGCGTCACACTATAGAGTGCCCACGTTTTGCTAGCGTGGCGTCGCTGCATGCGTCCAGCCTGTAAGGAAACTTGTTTCATCTAGGGACCTTACCAGCCTGCGCGTGCGTCAACGTAGCGTAGGAGCGTATTGGGCCCTTCATAACGCGCTCGCCGCCGTTGCGTTAGCTCCACATGTACCAAATTTGGTATCACGGGAAGTGAATAGGCGACGAAGGTCACGTCCAAACCTGATAATCGTAATATGCGTTTCATGTAACACATGACTACATGTTACGATCATAGCGTTCTCGCGACCGTTTCACTAGTTCTTACGTGACGTTAATGGACGATGAATGTAAATGACACGTCCAAATATGATAATCATGATATGGATTTCATATAAAACATGACTGCATGCTACGCTTATAGCACGCTCGCGGCCGTTTCGCTAGCTCCATATGTACCAAAGTTGGTATCAGGTGACGTTAATAGATGACGAAGGTAAGTGAAACGTCCAAACATAATAATAATGGCATGGAAGTCATGTACGGCATAATTTACCTCCGCCTCTTAACGTTGTGCTGATTTTAAAGTGACCTAGCTATCACCCTTCCTAATTCGTGCTTCGTATATCATCGACTCCCACTGTACGTGGGATCTGCCAATTTTGAATAATGTTCGTCGAGGAAGTAAAGGGGGCCACGTAATGAGAAAACACGTTTATGTCGAAGAAACAATCCACCTGGTCACAATAATAAAAACACGGGTCTTAAATGCACTAGTTTTGCAACCTTCGCAAAACATCAAACCAGTACGCATTGCGCAGTTGTTAAGACGAGGCTGTGTTCAGCCGTGTTTAGCCACAGTAATGTTGGCTCTGAGACTGTGCACATCCTGTTTCTTCTCTGTCGTATAGACGCACTCAGTGTCCATGCTGACCTCGTCAGCTGTTAGATAACCATCTTAAAATAGCCCATCCACAATCGAAGAATACGTTACATCATCAGAATGCAAGCGCACTTTAAAAAAACTCGGGTCTCCGAGTCTGATCACAGCCGGGTTTCGGCGAAAGCGAGCTCCGCGCTACGCACGATAACTCTTCAGGGTAGCAAGTCAGATATTTCCCTTCCATACCTATCAATCTACTGAAGCAGGAAGGCCGCCTTTTTGTTTCCCCGCTGAGCGTCCACTACTACTCTTGCCACCGAAACGTGGTGTTTGTTTTTCCGGTAAAAATCAGACTTCTCTTGCTCCGCAACGAGCAGCTGGAGCAGCATTTGACTTCTCGATCGGAGCTGCACGACTTGACGTCGCAATCTCGTAACCGCGGACGGACACAGATTCGCTTTATGCGCGTCGCTCGTTTCAGTGGAGACGCTGATACGCTGCTCTTCGTTAAGACCACCCGACGAGTTGTAATCTGCAGGCAAGGACTGCTTCGTCTTTCGATTCGTTTGCTGAGAACGCGACTTTTTAGAAGCGCGGGGTTTTCTCACGGGTCGATCCGTCTTGACTTCAAATACGGTCGGCACTGTGCCAGGAAGCAGCCTTTTGATTTTGATGTTGGGGAAGTAGTCACTCGGTAGAAAATGCTTGCTGCAAACGACTGTAGATGCAGATTTGTCGTTTATAACAAGATTTTCCCTGTTAATGTTCTTCTTCCACTGTTCACATAGGTCAGGGTCGATCGGAAACTCATGATACGAAACACCCGGCGTTATTCCACTCCGCGATCCGCAAAGCCGTACACAACAGGTCACCATCACAGGGCTTCATCCGTCCACGCGCGTCAGATTACTGTTAGCGGCTGCCGGTCATAAGCTGCCACGCGGGAACATGCCGCTGTTCTTACTTGCAGCGAGCCACAGAACGTGACTTGACAGCCGAAGAAAACTTCCAGCACTAGCAAAAAATAGCAAGTTCAAACTGGTAGGTGTTCTGTGGCCAACACTAGCCAATACTCACAATCACTAGCCAAAGCTAGCCAACAAAGTAGCTCCACTTGCGTAAAGAAACAGCACGTGTTTTTGTGTGCTTGCGTGGAATATATGTTAGTGTCATGAAAAACATAATTTTTTTGTAGCGCCCTTGATGCAGTAAGAAATTTGAATGCACTTAAGTGACTAGCGATATTTGTCAAAATAGTGACAGGCTAGCATCAATGAACGCTGTATATCAGACAAGGTAAGCCAAGCCAAGACAAGCGTGTTCTGTCACAGCGTTGGCCGGGCGGCTTGCGTATAAACGTCGGCGTCTGCAAATAAAAGCATGAAGCAATGTCGCACGTAAAGATCAGAACGTGCTCCTTAATACTGAAAGATCATTTTGGTCCCGTTGTACAGGCTGTCGGTGAAGCTCTCCTGAAAGTGTCATGGAGAAGCTTGGGAGAAATTGCAAGAGTGACCAATCTGCCTCTTTCCAAGGTAGCGTATGAAACGGACCGCTGAAACCACGTTTGCGCGTTCTGACTGTTATAATGCTTCTGTTACGCAGATTAAGAAGTCCCTGATGGTCCTCATTCATCAAAATCTCGCGAACTTCGAAGCTCACCCAAGGGGAACTGTCAAATACTCCATAAACGCCGACCGCGTTTTATACATGGTCCGATATTCACGTTACATATACTGCACAAAGATGCTGTAAGTGCTGAACGTGTCGTTTTATCATTTGATGTTCTAATTTCTGATGCAAAGCATGAAGCGCATTGTTTTCGGAAATCAACGATATAACATCCTTACTTTTTTTCCTTTTCTCTCTCTCTCACTCTTTTTTTTTTTTTTTTGCAGGTATGGTGAGGCAGGTGAATTCATTGTTGAGGAAATACTTCTGAACGGCAGATTGTGTATGTCTAGTGTCCTCCAGAAAGTTTTGGAAAGACAGCAAGGTTAGTTTTGCAAAGCGTAGTTCGTGGGTGTACCTCTCGCCTACAGTTTTTATGTGCTCGTTCTCGTATTCACGTTCCTTGATGCCATGCCATCCGAGCGTTCACCTTTCATTTCTTATTTGAATGCGCCCGCAGCATGCACAGCCGCTAGAAAGACAGTGTAATCGGGAAATCGCCGGAAGGGGTCATAATGCTGCAGTGGACACAAAAATGTGCAGATGACAATGAACGAAAAATTCCTGGTTGCAATGTTCATAATGAACAAGGGCATCTTGCCTGCCACCACATTATTCCCCCTCTCCAATCCTAATCCAAAGAACTTATTTCGCTGATACTCTTTTCTGCGTGCGTGTGTGACTAACTGACATTCAGTTTTTCTGTTCACCACATTTAGTGGTAGTATGGACACATTTATGTGCTTATGATATGCCTTCCAAGAGTAGTTTCCAACAGGTGTGTTACCCCAATTTAATGTCATCACTTTTGATAATGATTGAGCCTGATTCAAATCGAATTTCTTGATCATGATTGGCTTCTTTATGCAAACTGGAGCCAGTCACCACTTTGAAATTTGATCCCGATAGGGCTTAGTTGCGATTGGAAGTGCACTGTGCAACACCATTATGACTTGAAATTAGCGTGTAACTATTTTGAGCAAAAGCTTATGAGACATGAAATAGGCTGAATTTAACATACACTGTCTCTCAGCATAGGAGCTTCCAAACTTTACTGTGTAACTTTGTGTTTGTAATTTAGCAGCTGGCATCGCAGAGAGTGTGAAGGAAAAGTTTGTGGACCTTGTCAAGACTGGCTTCTTGTGCAGAGTTCCGTATCCCGACCCAAATGCCCCAGCCTCAAAAATACCTTCTCTTATCTTGCCTGATGATGTCATGTACAAGATTCCAGAGGTAAGCTGAAATTTGTTGTTTGACAAAATCTATGTTTTAAAGATGCTATTGGACTCGTCAAGTTTGCAAGGTTGCAGCTTGAGTACCGTGGCCGCTACATGGAAGGAAAGGTGTAACCTGCTGCGTTGTGTCGCTGTTTACGGGAGAGTGCGTCTTGGTTGGGTTTACAGTTGCTGCCACTGTTCTTTAAGAGGACGCCTTTGTTTGGGGACACAAGGTGAATGCCAATCTAGGTCAGAACATGGTTGCCTTGGAATTAGTGGTGGTTCATTTGCTTTTTCATTTGCTTTTTGCATGTAGTCCTATGTGACTGAGTTTCCCTCACATTTCGCATGCTTATGCAGGGTTTTTAATGCAATAGCATTGAAGAGCCCATTTCGCAGAAATCCAAGCATCGGTCTTATTGGTTGTGACAGAAAAATTATTGTGTGTTTGACCAAAAAATCAACAAAGATGCAAATAAAACATATAGTAAGGAATTCCGGGCCCGAGCGGGTATGCGACCCGGGTCGTTTGTGTGGCAAGCGGGCATGAAGCCACGCGTTAAACCAGGACCTTAAACCCCAACAATTAATATTATTATCTGCTTCTGAATACAGTGAAAATAACTACTTCTGCTTGAAAATGCAGTAAAAGTAACTTTCATGCTTTACAAACACACGTGTTTTGTATACATGCTTCACAATACAACATGAAATATTGAAGTAATAATGCATCAGGACATGTCATTATCATTATTACTTCATAGTTTAAACCCGGTCATCCACTACGAAAGGTACACACGTTACTGCAACTATTCCCTTAAGACCACAAAGTGGGTGCATAGCAAGGTCGAAGATATTTTATGCACCAAGTGTTTGAAGTACGCACTAAGGACAAGATATTGCTATCACATTCAACTCTTAAAGGCAAAGCTTAAAGGTCGGCCCACAATTTTTTGGTGGACGTGTGTGTGGCTGCCAGCCTTTCCTGTAGTGTGACGCAAGAGAACTGTTGTGTGTCACTCAGCAACTCAAATGCGAGAAAAAATATGAGACTGAAATAGTACAAGTTCCTTCGTGGTCTTCAGTGTTGAGAAGTGTTGCTAATGGATATATCTTGCAAAGGACTTGTAGGCTTATGCCACAGGAGCGAGAGAAAGACACGCCTGAACGATAACCGATGCCAGCCCGGAACGTGAGCCGTGGCTTCACGTGCCACGGCCTAGCGCCTTCTTTATTTTCTTATGTCGCCATCGCGCGCTCTCCGGTTTGCGCGCCGCCCGAACGAGGGCGCTACAGGGCCCCCCATGTAGACTGGAAGTCGGAATGTGACATGCCGTTTGTGGTATTCCAACGGAAGATCAGTCGTAGATGAGAGGCTTTCTAGGGCGGTCTCCAGGTACGCCGGCTTGAGTCGGTCCAAGCTGACTGTCTCTTCACGGCCGTTCTGAAGTAGAGTGGCAGTTTTGGGGGTGCGGTGAAGGACGCGGAATGGTCCGTCGTAGGCTGGTGTCAAAGGTGGTCTGACCGCGTTGTGGCGCACGAAAACATGTGTTGCCGTGGCCAGATCAGGGTGGACGAATATGGTCTTGTGTTCGGAAGGTCTGGGTGGAGTGGGCCGAAGGTCCTGAACGCAGTCGAGGAGGCGTTGTAGGAATTGCTGTGGCTGGTCTGGTAGCTTCGTTGACGTGAAGAAGTCTCCCGGAAGCCGTAGAGAAGTGCCATACACCAGCTCTGCTGTTGAGCACTGCAGGTCTGCCCGGATGACAGCTCGTAAACCTAAGAGCACCAGTGGCAAGGCATCAACCCAGGTGGCTCTATTGAGGCGGGTAGTCAAGGCGGTCTTCAGTTGTCGGTGAAGGCGTTCCACCATGCCGTTGGCGCAGGGATGATAAGCCGTGGTACGGCAATGTCTGGCTCCGAGGATGCGATTAAGGCAAGTAAACAGCGAGGACTCAAACTGACGTCCACGGTCTGTTGTCACGGTGCCAGGACAGCCAAAACGGGATACCCACGTAGAAATGAAAACGCGGGCAACTGTCTCGGCTGTGATATCTTGAATTGGAACAGCCTCTGGCCAGCGTGTGAAGCGATCGACCATGGTCAATATATAACGGTACCCCTGAGACACTGGTAGAGGGCCCACAATGTCTAGATGAACATGGTCGAAACGACGGCCGGGTGGAAGGAAAGGTTGGGGCGGCGTCTTAGTATGACGGGAGACCTTTGTCATCTGGCAGGGCAGGCACATGCGCGTCCAAGCGCGCACATCACCGTTGATTCCGGGCCAGACATAGCGCTGGGTGAGAAGACGCTGAGTAGCCCGAATGCCAGGGTGACAGATGTCGTGTAAGGAGTGGAAAACGGTGCGTCGTAATGAAGCGGGAACGAAAGGGCGGGGAAGGTCAGCTGAGACATCGCACCACAAGCGCTCAGATGATAATGGATGAGGCACCAGGCGTAGTCGGAGAGAACGGGGGTTCTCCCGAAAAGCGGCAAGCTCTCTATCATCCTGCTGTGCCGAGGAGAATGAGGCCCAGTCGATGGTTGGCGGTGGAGAGTCAACCGCGTCTATACGAGAAAGGGCATCTGCGGCGGTGTTGTCAGCTCCTTTCACGTGGCGGATGTCAGTCGTGAACTCCGATATATAAGCCAGATGGCGGAGTTCACGGGGCACGTACTTGGATGAGTTAGTGCGGAAAACATACGCCAGTGGCTTATGGTCAGTCAGCACGTAAAACGAGCATCCTTCCAGGAAATGCCGAAAGTCCTGTATTGCAGCGTAGATGGCTAGTAATTCCCGGCCAAAGACGCTGTAGCGGGTCTCAGCAGGAAGTAGCTTCCGAGAGTAAAACGACAAGGGTCTCCACTCGGAGTTAATGCACTGCTGTAAGACGGCTCCGACGGCCACGCTGGATGCGTCCACCATCAACCGAGTAGGGGCGTTGCTGCGTGGATGAATGAGAAGCACGGCGTTAGCGACCGCTTGCTTAGCAGCAGCAAAGGCGGCCTGGGCCTCTGACGACCAAGGAATGGCGGAGGACGGGCCGGCGGTCGACCGAAGGAGGTCGGTGAGCGGTCGTAGCAGTTCGGCACAGTGTGGTATGAAGCGCCTGGAAAAATTCACAAGCCCCAGGAATTGGCGTAATTGGCGCAGTGTTGTAGGCTGAGGATAATCCTGAATTGCTTTAACGTGGGACCGGAGAGGGCGTATTCCTTTGGATGATATGTGATGGCCCAAGAGCTCGAGCTCAGATGCGCCGAAAGTACACTTAGAGGCGTTCACAACGAGGCCGTACTGCTGAAGACGTTGGAACAGAGCGCGTAGATGGTGCTCATGATCTTCAGGTGTGCGGCTGGCGATGAGGACATCGTCAAGGTACGCAAACACAGTAGGAAGACCCCGTGTGACCTCAGAAATGAACCGCTGGAAAGTTTGAGCCGAATTGCGGAGTCCAAAAGGCATCCGCACGTATTCAAACAGCCCAAAGGGCGTCGTGATGGCGGTCTTAGGTATGTCGGCGGGCTCGACAGGAATCTGGTGGTACGCCTTAACAAGGTCCACTTTGCTGAAAATTGTGCAGCCGTCGAGGCGCGATGTAAAATCCTGGATGTGAGGTAGAGGATAGCTGTCGTGGACAGTCTTGGCGTTCAACGCTCGATAGTCCCCACAAGGACGCCAGTCACCAGGATCACGCCTTGGCGCCAAATGCAGCGGGGAAGCCCAAGCGCTTGACGACGGGCGGATAATGCCGAGCTGCAGCATGTGGTCAAACTCCCGTTTAGCAATAGCTAGGCGGTCTCCGAACAGGCGGCGTGGTCGAGCGGCTGCCGGTGGACCCTGGGTGACGATGTGGTGTGTCACCGTATGTTTAGGCGGCTGAGTGAGGTTGCACGGTTTAGTTAACTCCGGGAAACTCGCCAAGATTTTTTCGAACGGTGAGGAAGGTATCAGCATGCGGATGGCCATTGGAGCGATGTCGGACAGGACTCCCGAGATGGAGAGACGAGTCTTACCATCTATGAGGCGGCGCCGCCGCACGCTGACGTCCAAATCGAAGTATGAGAGGAAGTCCGAGCCGATGATCGGTTGAACCACGTCTGCAATGACGAAAACCCACCGGAAAATGCAGCGAAGGCCGAAGTCGAGGGTGAGAGATCGGAGCCCATACATTGTTATAGACGAGGCGTTGGCAGCACGAAGCACTTGCCCCTGTGACTTTGAACGATCAGCCTTAGTCGGGGGCACAACGCTAATTTCCGCGCCCGTATCTATAAGGAACCTGGCGCCTGATAGCTGGTCCGTGACCATGAAAAGGCGGCTGGGACGAGAAGGGAGATCACACGCCGCCGTCAGTGATCCCGGCAGGCGTTTCCCTGCCACGAACATGGGGGTGTACACTTCGTGGCTCGGTGTCGAAAACGCCGGTGGTACCAGCAGAGGGGTGGAGGGCTGGGACTCCGAGCATCTCGTGTGCGTGGAAGAGCTCGACGACCGGAACGAGGCGAACGAGTCTCCTGCAGGGGGCTCCGGAGTGCGGCAATGGAGGCGGCGAGTTCGTCGATGCGGGCCTCAAGGCGCGAAATCACTGTGTCTGCTGGTGGTAAGACAGCGTTGACAGATGGGGAGGTCGCTTCATGAACCTGATCGGCGAGCTCCGCCAGGCGGTCGAGATTGACGTCGCCGGCCGCCGCGAGGACGAGGCGGATTGGCTGAGAAAGGCGTTGGAGGAAGAGCTCGCGAAGCAACGCTGAGTGGGCAGAGACGTCGTGTTTCCCAAGAAGCTGTCGCATTCGGCGCAGTAGTTGGGAGGGGCGCCTGTCGCCAAGGTCCCCCTCTGCAAGGAGCTGCTGTAGGCGGACGCGTTCCGAAGGCATGAATCGTTCCAGCACCTTGGTTTTAAGGTGCTGATGTGGCATAGTGTCCGAGGGGTTGGAGAGGACGTCGGAGAGCTCGCTGGCAACGTCAGGAGGAAGGACGGAGGCTACGTGGTAGTAGCGTGTCGTTTCCGAGGCGATGCGGTACAGGGAGAATTGCGCCTCGACCTGATGAAACCGAACTTGCGGGTCCTGTGGCCAGAAAGATGGGAGACGCAGTTGCACGGCCGAGACGTCCTGCGGACGTGAGGCTTGTTCGGTTGAGGGTGCACTCGAGTCAGTCATTGTCTTCGTCCGGGTCACCACTTGTACGCTTATGCCACAGGAGCGAAAGAGAGACACGCCTGAACGATAACCAATGCCAGCCCGGAACGTGAGCCGTGGCTTCACGTGCCACGGCCTAGCGCCTTCTTTATTTTCTTCTGTCGCTATCGCGCGCTCTCCGGTTTGCGCGCCGCCCGAACGAGGGCGCTACAGACTATTGGGAAAATTAAGCAAGTATTGCGCCCAGCGACAGGTCCCTGGCGTGTAGGTTGTTGCGTAAAGCTCTCTCAATGAAGGTTCTCCATTTATCAGTTCACTTTTCCTTGTTTTTAATAAAATTGAAATATGTGTGCTATGCCGATGGTCAAATCATTTCACACTTTTGTCACCGGCACTTGCATCTATAAAGTTTAAAGAACATCATATTTATAAGTAGGTTGTCCACAATGCATGACTTGATAAGGTACACTTGGGCGTGTAGCCAGAAGTTGTTCTATTGGGAGGGGAGGGGGGTAGCAAAGAGATTTTCATTCTTAGCAGGGGAATGAAGGGAGCAGTTAGGAGAAACATTCTTATTGGGAATACTGGCAGGAGAGTTGAGAGTAGTGGAAAAGTTGCATATTTGGGCACCCTTCTTAGGTATGAGAAAGCCTCACACTGCTTCATCCTGAAAAAAAAAAAAATGCAAATATGCAGAAGGCAGTTCATAATATAATCAGTTCTTTTCATTTCATGTGAGTTGTTGCATTACATTGGAAACTGGATACAAGTCGTCTTTCCTGTAGCTTTTCATCAACAGATGCACGTGTTTTTACGAATTAAATGAACATAGCTATAGAGTGTTTCAGGCAGTACTTCTCGATATGAGTGCGTTACCTGCTCACAGATTCGTGGATAGGTTCACAGGGACAACCACCATGAAGAGTACTGAGGCCCACCCACTCTACAAAATATTTCCGCATGTGTGGCTTAGTCAGTATTTCTAAAGATGTCTTAAACATTCCAACTTTAATGTGCAACTAGAAAATGCATTATTTATGGCCTGATTAGTGTCAGAGTGAACATGCTGGGAAGTAGGCACGAGACGCCGTTTCGGCGCCTCACAGCACGCCGCACTATTTTTTTATGCAGTGGCCGAAGCAGTATTTGTCACCCCTTTCAGAGATATTCACAGATATGTATAAAATATCATATCATTGTTCACATCACTTTTAAAGGCCATACTGCAATGAAATTTCACTTTTGCTTGCAAGATGTTTCAGCACCTTCTTATCTTGGAGGTCCTATTGAACAGTGGCATGCTTTAGGTCATGCCCATCACTCTAGTTTCCCAATTGATCATAAAAATGCTTATGTCGTTTAACATTCCAATACAAGGGAGAAATTTCAAGAGATCATTGTACTTTGTGAGACCCAAGATTAAGGAGTACCAACAGACAATCAAGCCAAGGGCAGTATGGTAGATGTTATTTGTGGTAAATATATAAACGAGACAAAGTTAAAGTGCACAAAAAGACAACCAGCTGCCAGCAGGGACCAAGCCTGCAGCTTTTGAATGATGCATCTGATGCTCTACCAGTTGAGCTACGGTGGTGGTCATCCTTCCATCCGCTTTATCGGGTATAACTGCACTTTGGGTACAACTGTTCATGGACGTTCAAATGATGTGACGTTATTGCCAGCTATAACAAGTGGGTATCCTTTTCAATAAACTTCAGTTTTCAATCAGCGCCTGCCCCATGTCTTCTTCTCTGTGTCCTGTTTTCAACGTGCTAAATCTCACCATACGGTATGATAATTGTCATATAGACCATCACTGCAGACTATGGCTCCTGGAACATCAAGAGTGGATGATCGTGAAAGTGTGAATTTTCCTGAACCACCTGCAGCTGACAGTGTGCAAGTTTCACCAACTTGTCAGGATGTCAAGCGTATTTTATAAGAAGCACACGTAAGGGGAAGAAACCACAGAAATTCAAGGACTATATTAGATAGTAGCTTCTTTTTGCCCCCTTTTTTTTTTTCCCGCCAAAGGGGATATGTCATAAAAGGGGTCACTGCCAACTTTGTTGCTGGGAAATGACAAGTTCTCGGCGGCCGCTTCAGAGAAAACTATGAACATAGAAGAAAGAATGAGAAACAAGTGTTTCCATTGATGTGGTTTAGCTGATATGGACCACACAACAATAATTGATGTAAATAATGTCTCCCATACTTTCCTTGGCTTGATTGTCTCTCTGTTCTCATTATTGTTCCACAGCAAAACATGGGTACTAAAGGAGACTGGAGCAATGACTTGGAAAAAATAGTGGCCAAGTGGTCTTCTTTGACAGTTGTCAATAGCTAAACATTTATTGTATTCTACTGCTATTGGACACGTGACTTTGCTTTTAAACAAGAAATCCATTGTATTAGTAGACTAAGCACTGCGACTGAGCATGCAGCCCGAAAACATCTGTTATTCCACTGCAGTCGTGGCCTAAAGTTTAGGTTGTTTGGCTTGGCTGCAGGAGTTGGCTGGTTTAAACCCTACTGTCAGACACCCGCCGGTCAAGCTGGCACTAGCAATGTTTAATCTTTAGGAGGTGTTTCTGCTTGGGGGAACTCTTGCCACCGGTGCTGTGTGATAGAGGCTCTGTGTTGGGATGGATAGGTGAAACGTTGCTTCATATCTTAGTCTGTCAGTCTGCTATGCTACGTCGTATAACAAAGGCTTAGAAAAGTCTCCCAAAGGTGGCGTGCTTTGTGTATATGGTGACGAGTATATGTTCTAGAGAACAGAGGTACCCCATTTTCACTGTTGACAACTGCAAGTAGTCTATAGACAGTGGAGCCAGAGAAACCATAAGAAAATTATTTATTGTGATTTAAAAGAACAAACGCAGTGAAGTAGACAAAAAAAGACTTGCTGGTTGATCCCCCCAAAAAAGGCAGAAGTTCTGGTGAATGTTGAGCTGAAAAGGATGAAAATATTCGTAAACATATGGTGTTGCTGGAGTTGAGGATTGGGCTAGTGAACTTATCTTCAATGCTACAACCTTGACGAGGGCAATTCTGGTTGTCAAACATTGACTCCAGCGACACCCGGTGTTCACGAATTTTGTTCACGCGATGTTCTACCAATTGAGCAGTCACTGGTTACATGCATAGCAGTGGCTGCATGGTTTTGATGTACATGTGCACTGTACAGCATCGGGCACCTCTTGGCTATGGCATTCGGTGAGCTGTAGGGTTGGAGTGAAAGGAATTGGAAGGCTCAACTTCAGTTTTTCTGAGCGTTGCCTGATAAGGGTGTCTGCTGCCATATTCTTGATGCCTCAAGGTAGCTGAGTAGCAAGCAAATCTCTTTTGACCAGTGTGCCTTTGTTCTAATTTCTGCACAGGTCAAATTGTATCTGCTGAAGCAAAAGTTGGCTGCTGAAGCTTCTGAAGAGCCACCAACGAAGAAGGTTAAAATGGAAGATCCCCAGGATGACAGACAGCCTGATGAGAAGGAGTATTGGCGTGTAAACATTGAACGTTTCGACCAGCACCTCAGGTAATACATTAGATCCATAGAGTTTCATATAATTATACCTAGAGAGGAATCTGGCACTGCGATAGCGTACCTCTATGGGAATTATGGCAAGTACAGGCTTTGGATTGGATGGAGTTAGCAAACTGTCTACAGACATTTTTCTACAGTTTGTTTTATTCTTCGTGCAGCGCAGGTAGTAGGGTGCGGTGAAAAGGGCTAAAGCAGTGCCTTTGTTGTTCAAAGAGGCAGAAGACTACTAGACCTTCTGATTTACTGCCACGTTGCAGCTTTAGAGTCGTATCTGATAGTTCAAACAAAGCGTCATCCACTCATCGCTGCGCGTAAATGTAGCATCTCATGCCAGTGCAGGTTATTTCATTGAATTCATGTTTTTTCACGAGCGCATCTGGCCTAAACTCATCTTAAATTGACTGCAAAGTGGTGACGAGGCTAAGGAGACACACCGTCCCTGACTCGACTCGACAACAAAATCAGAGGTGTGTTGGGGGCAGACCACTTGGGACAGACGAACCTAGCATTGCAGGAAACGAAACGTTAAGTGTTTCTCACTTAACTGTTATTTTCATAAATAGATAATGCGAGAAAAACCGGCATCTTTGTTTTCAAGTGTCATAAAAAATAATTCCTTAAATCTTGATGCCAAATCTGGAACGCAATGGCAGAGCAATTCATACCCTGATGGTTAAATTTGCCCACATTTCACTTTTTCCGCCTCGTCACGAAAATTTTTTGCTCTAAAGTTTGCGCACAAATAAATGAAGGAAGTTTCAATTAAATATTGGTTCATATCACTTTGCTTTACACTCTCAAAAGAAGCGTCGCCAATCTCAAGAACATGATCCCTCCGAAGCGGATCCAAAGCCTGTACTTCCCATAATTCTCAGGGGGTACAAGCGCCGCTGATGGAGCCCGCATAGATACTAGCGCCAGATTCCTCTCTAGGTATTATTGTATGAAACTATATGATTAGAGCGATGCTAGGGTTAATATCATGACTCATGAGTTTTCTTTGAACAGCCCATTCACTTTTTGTCTTTCCTTCATTACTTATGCTTTACTCTTATGACTTTTTACTATGTCTGCATGTGCTACCACAGTGCCGAACTGTACAGGAAACGTAGGCACTGGTACAGTCCCTCTGAATGTGAAAAGTCTGCACCTGCCCTGCATCAAGGATATGCAACAAAGCTCACTCTTTGTGCCCTAGTTATCAGACTTTTTAATCGGACATTGTTTGAACGACTCGATCTGTGGCATGTGCAGCTATGTGAGCCAAGCCAAGCTAGATCATGCAGCCATGGGAATCATAAATCATGGTGGTCATAACTACATTATGTCTATTTTTATTTTACGTGAAATTGGTGCAGAAGAAGCTGCAGTACTCCTCATTTTATAACTTTATGACCTTGTAACTTCCTTGGCAGTACAAGAGTGGAAGCAGTAAAACCATTTCTTTATCCGAGACATACTCGCCGTATTTGTGTGCATATTTCAGTCATTTTTTTCGCCAAAGAGCTAGTCAGCACCAGATAATGCGTTGATCGCCATGCCGCCAGCACTCTTGATGCTCAATAGCTTCTGCAATGCTTGTGATATTGCGCACACATTGAACTGAGACGAAGCGAAAGTGCTGCATACCGCAACTGCCGCGGGAGAAATCGCGGGGTTGCTGTTGACGAGAGTACCAGCGGTGATCTCGTGTTTATGAAGGTACAGCCAAGGAGTACCATGTTGTAAGCAAACTAATGTTCTGAAGACTGCCGCAGACAAAACGGCAATCACTGTCGGTGCCATCGTAGATTATGGTTACTTGGTTTGGCAGGCACATAACCTAGACGAAGTCGTTCATGGTGGTAAATGAGAGTGCTATGGCTATTTAATGGCACAATAAGCACAAAGCATTGAATTTTTTATTGGTCTCACAGTGTTCTCTACTGATGACTGTGGCAATGAAACTGTACCCTTGAAATCTGCTGAACCTTGGAACGCCCTCGGTTTTTGCATTGCTCATATAAAGCTGTGTATGCCGTCTACACACATGTAGAGCAACGTGTGAGTGCATGTGCGGTTGTCACAGTCACTGTCACATGTCTCAACGTAACAAGGGCTGTATTAATTGGGTCTTGCGGAACTCAGAAAAGAATTTTTCAAAACCTGCATTTTTCATATTTTAATTGTAGCTTGAAATTACCAATAGGCTAGCCAGAATTTCATTTCTTGGCGATTAACATGGCAGCACTTTCGTGTCTGTGTGTGGGCCATAAGTTGAATGTTACACCTGTATAAATAGCAAAAGTAAATCACCTCATGGGGATTAAATGCCGCTGAGAGTATAGGGAGGGGCGGGAGGGGGGCAGGTGCATTCATGAGACAGCGATGTTGTCAGAAGACGAGATGTGATATTGGTCAATAAATTTGCTGTAGAGCTTTCAGAGAGAGAGAGAGAAAAACTATATACAGGGAGTAGGAGGAAGATGGCCCGGTGCGGGCTACCCCTTACACACACTAGGTGGGCTCCTCGTTACAGAAGTCCATTGGCAGCCAACGCGACTCAAGCTCGGTTGACCAGGGCATTCTGGCTCGCCAGGTGGGAACAGCTGAGCAGGGCTGCCTCCAGGGTAGGGTTTGGTTTTGGGCTGAGGTGCGGAATTGACTGGCATGCCCACACCATGTGGAACATGTCAGAGGACTTCTCCACACAGTGCAGGCATTTTCCTGTACATGCAGGATCAAGATATTTGAAAACTGCCGGGCACAGCATTGTTTTGGTGTAAAGGTGGAGGAGTAAGCATTCCTCTGCCTTTTTAAGGCCCTTACAAGGTTTATGATCAATCACGTGGCCGATTCGATAGAATTCAGTAATTTCCCGAAATGTTAAGACTAGATTAGGTTCAGAATCCATTCCGGAAAGGTCTGAAGGCGTTACCCGGAGAGTGAGCGGCGTCTGCCGTTTCATTGCCTTCAAGGCCCATGTGAGCTGGAGCCCATATGATGCTACGGGACGCGGGGGCCCCGACGTAATTACTATTTTGTAAGAAGCGGTACGCCAGGTATGGGACGCACCTGTGTTGAATATTTCTGCAGGCCCCACTCGAGTCTGTAATGATGACGCGTGAGGCCTGGTCAGCGGCAGCTAGCGCGATGGTCACTTACTCCGCACGTGTTATGTCCTGTGCTCTGAATGTGAGACCATTCACCGCGATGTTTTGGTAGACGACTGCAGCCGTGTGCCACCCCCCATGGTGAGGGCCGGAGGCGTCCACGTAAAATATGCCGTGTTTGTTCCCATATTGGCGGGCTAATGCCTCCGCCCATGTAAGGCGCCTGCCATTGTGGTCGCCGCGTGTTATGTTGGCCGGAAGAGGGTGCACATGCAGGGTGTATCTCCAGACTACTGGGATGCGTACGCGCTCTTCCGTCTCTGTTGGGTGGTGGATGTGTAGTCAGGCTAATAGGCGGCAACCCGACGGAGTGTTCGAAAATCTCGTGTATTGGTTAATCAAGTGTGCCTCCCGGAGCTCTGCGAAGGTGTTTACCATCCCTAGGCCCATAAAGCACTGGTTGGACGGGGTTATTAAGAGATCGAGGGCATGCTTGTACTTCTTCCTGAGAATCACTTCAAGGGCGTTCTCGTCCAACTTGCGCAGGTGGAGGTAAGGAGCCGAGTAGAGGACTCGACTGGTTACGAATGCATGCGCCAGCCGCAAGGCATCTTTGCAACGTAATCCCCTGCGCTTGTTGAAAACCTAGCGAACCATGCGGCCCACCTGGTCCCCCACCTTGCGCAGTTTTGTCAATGTTATATCGACTCGGCGATGTTTATGAATAAACAGACCCAGTACTCTTATCTCGTCGTGTTCTGGGATGGATTCGCTTAATAAGGACAGTTCAATTTTGGCAGTGCACTTTGCCGAGGGGCGTATGTGCACAAATTCCGATTTGGTCGGGGAGCATTGGAGGCCGCAGTGGCGGGCGTATGCGTCCACAATCTCGGCCGCTTGCTGCAGGTTGGCTCCTATGTCTCCTACCGATTCGTGTTTAGCCCATACGGTAATATCGTCGGCATACAGCGTGCGCTGTATGCCTTCAACATTATCCAGCTAAGCGGGGAGTTTCATCATAGCCAGATTAAACAATAGGGGTGACAGGACTTCACCCTGTGGGGTGCCTCTCGTACCTAATTGGTAGGGGCCGTGTTCTTCATGTTGTATTTGGATGTATGACTGTTGGTCAGAGAGAAATTGTCGAATGTATTGAAACATGTTGTGTCCACAGTTGGTTTGGGAAAGGTGCTTCAGTATTATGTCATATATGACGTTGTCAAAAGCCCCCTTCAAATCAAGGGCGAGTACTGCCTTGTCATTAGGAGGGTATTTGATGGGATTTAAAATTTCACGGTCTAATTGAAGCAGGACATCCTGTGCAGACCGGTGTGGGCAGAACCCGATCATGCTTCATTTATCGCTAATTTCCACAGTGCTCTTGACTTCCTGAATGCCTCTTATCCTAACATACCGGTTATTTTAATGGGTGACTTTAACTTCCCAGGAATAATCTGGTCTAACCTCGCGCTCACGATATCTAAACACACTATAGAAAGCGACTTTGTTAACACGTGCCTAAAATTTGGTTTATCTCAACTTGTTTCATTCCCAACGCGAGCTACTGAGCACTCTTCAAATATTCTCGACCTCATTTTCACGTCACACCCCGACAATCTGGCATCCCTAGTTCCTCTCCCAGAGATTAGTGATCACGCTGTGCTTCACGCTTCGTTTTCTAATCAACTACCAGGCAAAAGCCATTCCAAGAAAACCCTCACACTCTACGATAAGGGTAACTATGCCGCCATTAACAACGAACTATCCATATTTTGTGAATGGTACTTAAACGAATTCTTCCAACGCCCCCTTGAAACTAACTGGTCTTTGTTCAAGTGCAAAATCCATGATTTGATCAATAGATTTATACCCACAATTACAATTACGGAACGGGCGTCTTCACCTTGGTTCAACATATCTCTCAAGCGTCTTAACAATAAGAAAAAGCGATTATATCGCTCGGCTAAACTGTCTAACAGCGCGAGCGCTTGGAACAAGTACCGCGGAACGGCAAAGGAATTTGAATCACTCGCTGCGAAGGCTAAGCGTTCTTTTTTCTCTTCTACATTACCTAATATGCTACGAAATAACCCTAAACAATTTTGGAGAGCCATTAACCCCAATCCCACAAAAACGTTATCCTTACTTGATGAACACGGCGATCCTATTCCAGAACATGTTACCCCTCAAGTACTAAATACTGCCTTCTCTTCCGTATTTACCCCTGAATCTTGCAGCCCGCTTCCAGACTCCCCATTTCTTAATCATCCTGTCATGCCAGGCATTACATTCGATTCATACGGTATTGCAAAACTAATTGACGAATTGAAACTAACGTCATCCGCGGGAATGGATGGCATCAATTCCAAAATTCTGAAAAACACTAAGCCTATAACAAGCATTATTCTTTCGCACATATTTCAGCAGTCCATTTCATGCGGAGTGGTGCCGGAAGACTGGAAGCTTGGTAAGATCGTTCCTGTCCCGAAAAAAGGTCTTTCATCTTCACCGAGTAATTATCGCCCCATATCCATCACAAGTGTATGCTCTAAATTAATGGAACACATAATTTATTCCCACATAGTAATTTTTCTACGTTCGGTACATTTCTTTCACCCTAACCAACACGGTTTTCAAAAAGGACTTTCATGTGACACTCAACTCGCCCTGTTCGTTAACGACCTGAATTCTAGCCTGGATAATAATATACCTGTAGATGCCATTTTCATTGATTCCGAAAAAGCCTTTGACAAAGTTTCTCATAACAGATTATTTTTGAAGCTTTCATGTCTTAACCTTAATTGTCCTGTTTTTAATTGGATATGTGACTTCTTGACTAACCGTAAGCAGTTCGTTTGTGCTAATAACCATCGCTCCTCCCTATCCGCTGTAACCTCCGGCGTACCTCAAGGCACGGTCCTTGGTCCTCTACTATTCCTAATCTATATTAACGACCTCCCCAATAACTTAGCGTCTAACATTCGTCTGTTTGCAGACGACTGTGTCATTTATCGTCCTATTCACAATTCTGACGACCCTGTCATCCTACAGTCTGATCTTTGTTTGATTTAATCATGGTTGCGAAAAATGGCTGATGTCCCTTAACATAAAGAAAACTTGTGTCATTTCCTTCCATCGCCGTCAATCCTATTCCTCTAATAAATACTTCCTATTTGATTCTGAAATAACAGCGGCTAATTCATGTAAATACCTCGGTATCACTCTAACTTCAGATCTGACCTGGTCATCCCACATTATGAACATCACTAATGACGCCAACCGCGTGCTTGGCTATCTCCGAAGAAACTTACGTCTAGCCCCACCTTCTGTTAAACTTTTAACCTATCTAACACTAGTCCGCCCGAAGCTAGAATACGCATGTGCCATCTGGGATCCCCATCAAATAACTCTTATTAAAACGCTTGAAACTATCCAAAATCGTGCAGCCAGATTCATTTATTCTGACTATTCCTATCTTAGCAGCGTCACCAAACTAAAATCTCAAGCTAACATGGTTAACTTAGCTTCACGCCGCAAAATTTCAAGACTGTGTTTGTTTCACACATTTTATCATGCATTGCACCTAAACCATGTTATCGTTCCAGCCCATCGTCTTTCATGCCGTATCAGCCATTCGAAAGCGGTTTATCCACCCCGTGCGCATACCACTGCCCATCACTCTTCATTTTTTGTGCAAACATCAACAGAATGGAACGATCTTCCTGCTGACATCGTGCACCACTCCAGCATTGCCCATTTCAAAGAAGCCATCGAACAAATCATCTGTTTGTGAACTGTCTACCTCCTCATGTAACACCCCTTGACTGGGGCCCTTGAGGTATTATAAATAAATAGATAAATAAATAAATAAATAAATTGTGTCTGCGAATATGTGTTGGTTTTCCAAAAACTCGGACAAGCCATCTCGCACCATAGTCTCCATCAGCTTTCCTGCACAAACGTGAGAGATATGGGGCGAAGGTTGTCTGTGTTTATGGATTCGCTGGCTTTCGGATTGAAAGTGACCAGGGCAGTCTTCCATTCGATTGGAAGGGGTGTCCTACCAAGCCAGATTGAGTTTATGTACCCGAGGAGTGTGTCATAGGTCGGGTCGGGAAGGTTGGCAAGTAATTTCACTGTTACTTTGTCTCTCCCCGGCACCGTTCCTCGCTTCATTTTAGTCAGGGCAGCCTTCAGGTAATGGAGCTGGAACGGTTGATCCAGCTCCGCGTTCTCGGAACCTGCATATGAGTACGCTGGCCCTTGGGTGTGATGTCGGACACAGAGGTATTGATAGCATAGTTTGCATGCTAATTTTGAGGTGTCTCCGTCGAAGGCATGGATTGCCCTTTGGAGATGTTTTTGTGTCTCGGCTTTGTTTTGGGTCGGTTTAATGAAAGCGCTTAAGAGACGCCAAGTGTTCCGTCCGGACATATGTCTAGCAGCCGTGTTGCATCAGTCTACCCAATTCGAGTCGGCGAGCTGGGCCGCGTACTCTGCCGCTCGTTGGGTGAGCTCGGCAATGCGAATTTTGAGTTTCCGATTGCGTTTTTGGCGCCGCCATCTGTGAACCAGGCTGTGCCGCGCCTCTCAGAGGTGAAGGAGGTGATTGCTCACCCCCGGCGTAGCCTCTGAGAGTTGAACTTGAGTTTCGCTCGAACGAAGGTGTGTGACCGATTCTCGGGACCATGCGTGGTAACCTGTTTTGCCTATAGGGGCCAGATTAGTGTAGGTTTTCTGAAACTTTGTCCAGTCGGGTATGCAGGCTTAGGCATAGCGTCTTGCCATTGGCTTGGTTGTGCCGGCGTTGAGTATGCAGTGGTCACTGTTGAGGGTTTTCTCTGTATTGGTCCTAGAGCTTTGTACACATCCCTCTCACAGTAGAGCTGCTTGCCCCTTTCACGCTTTCCAAGTTGGACTGGAGCTGTCATTTAACCTTTTCACTGTTAGGTGGTTCTGGTCGCAATGCACCCCTAGTGTTGACTTGGTTTCGGGAATGTCAGAAAAGTTTGAAATGCTGAGAAATGGCATGTTATGAAGTAAAGATGACAGATAGGGATATGAAAGGAATACAACAACGTCTTTTGTTGCTGATAGCAGCAAGCAAGGTCGCTGTGATTCAGTCATGTTTCCGCCTACTGGAGCGGCGAAGGCGAGCGCCCTCGAGCTTCATGCTCTGAGCAGACATGCCAATACAATAGCAGAAAAAAGAAACTGCGGGCATGCATCAGATTGCTGTGCAATTCTTGTACCTGCAGTCGCATGCGTGTCATATGGTCACTCCAACCCTGTGAGTAGTGCGCAGAGCAGCTATGCCCCCAGCAAAGAAGGGTGGACGCGGCACCTCTTAAATACACGTACCAAATGGCAAGGAGCAAAAATGTGTGCTTCTAGATTCGAGAGGTGGTGGAACCAGTAGAATCGCACAAAAAACGCCAATTTTGCACTCCGGTGTGAATTTTAGAGTCCATAACAGACTGGTACGTGAGTGACACTGTGAAAGGGGAAGAGGGGAGATATGAGAACGTACAAGTATATCAGTGACAGTAAAAAGGTTAAATAGTAGTGTATCATTCTCTTTCTGGGGTAGCATAGATGCATCTTCATTTGTTCACTTTGAGGTACAGAGTAGCTTTTGCAAGATGATTAGAACAGCACATGCAGGTGTCTGTAGGCAACAGCGTTTCTTATGCTGTGTTAAAGAAATTAGTATGCTTGACATGCTTGTGCCAGTACGTTTATGCTAGCCTAATTTAATCTCTGCATCTTCAAGTGTGAATGACCATAAAGGATTCTCTTTATCTAAACTGTTGTAGGGCAAATGTGCTACATTTTAATATAACCTAAAAGCCCCGACACGGATTACTGAAGTGCTGCAGCCAATTTCCGCGCAACTATAGAAATTGTTCTGCTCATGTACTCCGTCATGTCTTCCGATAGCAGGTTCACCGACCGTGCAGCTTATGACATTAGCCTAAAGCTCACGCTCATTGGTGCAGGCTTGTGTGCCTGTGCCTTTGAGGAGAAAATGCCACCCCCTTCTAAATTTGTACCTAATTTTAGGTACATCGAGTTTTTCCGCATTTACCTGATGAAAATTCGATGCTCTGGAAGGTATGTAGAGTCCACAGTCTGCAACACAAAAGCAAAATGATGTGTAGCCTGAAAGAAGCCTTTGCTCCAACAGCAGTGTTTAACTGCAACGATTCATTTGCTACAGTATGTATGTACTTGCCACATGATGTGTTCCGAGCATTTCCTTACTGCTGCTCTGATGTGCGCTGCAGGGACCAGCTGATTGTTGAGGCGTTGTCGAAGAGAATGGGTGCAAAGGCCGGCGAGGTGGTGCGCACCATGTTGCGCCTGTCGGAGACACGATGCAACCCAAAAGACGCTTTTAGCGCCCCTGTCAGTCGCAGTGAGATTCACCAGTTCCTGAAGCGAGAGACTACCTCCTCCCCACAGGTAAGACGAAAGAAAAGTGGGGCTTGTTCACATGTATATGTTGTTTTTGTGGAGTAAATATGTGGGGACTGATTTTTTTTCACAGTGACCTGACAGCCCTAATAATGACACGTTTGCATCTTTCCTGAATTGCGTTACATCGTTTGGTCATGCTGCCATTGAAAAAAATCAAGCTTCCCATTGCGTAAAAGAAGGAGTTTATTTACAATAAACCGCAGCCCGACTTCCTAGGTTGCTGCTGCAGCGCGTTAATCAAAGGCCTGAACAGATCATCGTTCTCTTTGTCGATCTTTTTCCAACAAACTCCGAGCATGCCGAAGTTCTAGAAAAAGTTTGGTTCCCGTAGGTACATATGTTGAACAGCCGGTGCGATGATATTTTCTACATGGCCAGTATCTTGTCTTGTCAGCAGTTTTTCTCTTTTACAGTGTTTTGCTTCTTTTTAACTGAGGAAGACTTTAACCTGCCACACCAGTAGCATAAGCGAGATGTCATCTGCAGGATAAAGAGCTCTTTGTCGGTGTATTGTTGAATTATTTCCTCAGCGTTTCCCGCACTGCACAACAATACATCATTGTCGGGATGCCCTACCAGTTCCGGAGATTTTCGCACCCCTTCTTTCTGTTTGAATGAGTCCGGAGGCTGCTTAGACTTCATATGAAGATCACATTGATATTTCAAAGCCGACATGTGTAACTTCGTTGAAGCACATAACATCTTGCTGGCATGTGAGCACTGTTCGGAAGTTTTTTTTTCCTGAACCAGCTTCTTGGTTTCCGTTCCAGGTCATTTTATATTTCTTGGACATCATTGTCATGACATCTAAGTCGTTTTCGCTCTCTACTGTGATTTTATGGTTCTTCACTGCCGCTTTGAGAATGATGATTCAATGCAATGCGTGGCGGTAGCGCAAGATGTTGCTCGTCCATGTAGCATCCAGCCTAAGGATGTCTCGACGGCTTTCAGTCCGTTTTCTGAATTCTCGATAGTTCCTGTTACAAATAACCAGTAATAGTCACTGCCAATCAAGATGTGAACAGCATTTAGACTCTCAGCTTGATTAGTGCCCTAGAAGTAATGTCCTTGGTGACTGAGCTTGTCGATCAAGTCTCTTGTTAGTCGTGGGATTCATTGATGGGGGATGTTCGTCCCGATGAGAGCTTCTATCGACAGTGATGTAGCCACGGACCAGACTCAGGCTGACAAACGCGCGGGAAGGTCTTCTCGTCATGTTGTCCTGCAAAGTGGCCCACTGAAAGTCTTTCATGACCGAGTAATCGAGAACGCAATTATTCAGCTAGTTGCTTCATCACAAAACTGTGCTGACTGCCTCCATCGAATAAAACTCGAACAAGCACTTTGCTTTCTTCGCTGGCTGTCCAAGCAACAGCAGTTTGGAGGTCAGCAGTTTGGAGGTGTACGCTTCATTTCGAGTTGTCAGTTTAGATCATTTTGAGCTGCATCAGTGCTGTTGACGTTTGGGAACTGGAGATCGAAATCAGCAGCCGAGGGTCGCACATTGTTTCGACTTGGCGTCAGTTGCACTTAGTACAGGTAATGTTCCTCCTGCAATATTTTTTTCAAATGATGTTCTGATGTACAGCAGAAACATCCCCCCGCACTGAGTACCGTAATTACTCGAATCTAACGCGCACCTTTTTTCCGGTTAAGCGAGTTCATAAATCGCATGCGCGTTAGAATCGAGTACGAACAAAAAAATTACGGTCAATCTATTGCCATCGGCAAATCCAAAATGGCCGCCTCCTATGTGCGTCGGCATGGCGCGTCGGCCATTTCAGCCTATGTGTTTCCCATGTGCGGCACTTCGTACGTGTGCTGAGGAGTTCGTCATCTAGTAGTGCATTAGCATCGACGGCGTGGAAGGGCCGACTCCAAAAACTCGAGTGCACCACGGTGCTGCTTTTAAAAGAAAAGTCATCGCGTGTGCAGAAACGGGCGGAAATCGGGCCGCATCGCGGTCGTTCGGAGTTCCCGAAACGTGCGTGCGGGACCGGCGGAAACAAAAGCAGAAGATTGTCGACAGCAAAGCTTCACGCAAAGGCTTCAGTGGACCACAGCAGGGTCGGTTTCCGCAAATTAAAGAGCTGCTCGGCGAGTATGTGCTTGAGCAGCGAGCGGCACAGCGGCCCGTGACGACAGAACTGCTCCAAGTGCGGGCTATGCAATCTTAGAAAAAGGTCTAATGCGGAGCCAGTTTGAAGCGAGCAGGTGCTGGCTAACTAACTTTATGAAGAGGAAAGGCTTTTCCTTTCGAAGGGGAACATGCATATGCAAAAAGTTTTGCGGAGGAGTACGATGAAAAACTTCACAGTTTTCAGAGGTTCGTCCTAAACTTGCGGCACAACAACGGCTACCTGCTTGGGCAAATCGGGAATGCCGATCAGACGCCTCTTTACTTCGACATGCCTGGCACCACAACCGTCGAGAAGAAGGGGGCGAAGCAAGTTCGTGTGCTGACATCGGTCCACGGTAAAACTACAGTGACGGCAATCCTCTGTTACACGTCATATGGGCACAAGCTTCGCCCGTACTTCATATTTAAATGGAAGACGCTCCCGAAAGGAGTCGTTTTTTCGAGTGGTGTGATCGTGCGGGCCAGCGAGAAAAATGGGTGCGCGTTGCAATCGATGTCTTACGTTTTTTTTTTTTTTTTGCGGTGAAAATCGGGTGCGCGTTACAATCGAGGCCGCGGTAGAATCGAGTAAATACGGTAGTTGTATTTTTTTTTCTAGGGAGTCTTAATACCTTTTGTGTTATAATTGAATGTGAAAATCACTATAAATCGTTTTAGCTATCGATTTGCACACCTGTTCATGAGATTAATACACACACACATACAAAAAATGAAAGATAACAACATCGTTCGTCATGATTTCTCAAATGCTGCAAGCACCGATAAGGTGCAGTTGGGGCTAAAAGTATGTGATTGTAACAGTTGGGAATTGAAAAGAAAGGAAAAGAAAAGTAACTGAGCCATAAACACTTGTTGCAGGGAGACTGTGTGGAAGAACGTGCCGAAAATTTTTGAACTTGTAGATATTCTTGATTATGATCTACAATTAAGCAATAGTGAGGAGCAATATAAATGAAACTTTAAGCATGAAGAAACGAAAACAAAGATGAGAAAAGAGAGTTGCTCGTATTGTTTTTTTTTGTGTTTTTATCTAGTACCTGTCCACTCAAATTTTTTTCATGTTATCATATGAACTCACTTAACTTTTCACTCTTTTGAATTACTGGGGAACATTATTTCATATAACTTCTTGGTAGTTGCCATGCTGGTGACATATAAAGTAAATGCTCTTTATTAGACAATAATTATTTATTGTAGAGGGTAAAAAGTAAGTGTGTCAGTTTTAAGGGAAAAGAATGCAATCATTTTGCGAATATATATGATATAAATTCAAAAGAAATGCAGAAAGGGAAAGATGGAAGCTTTTTATGGGAAGTTCGTAAACAAGGCTTGTGTGCGGGAGCCGATGCTTTGGCAAGTGGGCTTGGCTATTTCTTTTCCTTCTTCTCTTCTTTCACTCTTTCTCTATCTTTTTTTCTCTATGAAAAAAACAAGTCCATTCGTTGAAATGTCAGCTCCAGCACACACACACACACCTTGTTTATGAATTTCTGTATACGTTATACAAGTTCAACATTACCAGGTTTAACAGTGTTTGTTGACTAGCGTTTGGAAGATCACTTAAAGGGCCAGTAAACAACCTCACGGTCCAAAACTTCCAGTGGAGAAATAACGGCTCACTTGTGCAGCGTGAAATTGCTGCCGCAAGAACTTTGTGAACAGGTGCTGTACTAATGAGGAAGTTACAGGGTCAAGAAAGACCTGCTTCGATGGGTTTTGGTTTCTTGCTTGTCCTTCCAACCCTTTTCTCGCAGTGGAAAAGGGCAGGCGTAGTAGCCCCTTGTTGCGACTACACCCATTTCGACAATGTAGCAGGACATCAACCATACGTCTTCAGCGTGGCGCCAACGAGCAAGCAAGGCTCTTTCTTTGTCCGCATCTGTCATAGCTGCGCGGGAAGGAAGGGTTGTGCGTGGATCGCGAGACACTGGTAAGGTATGCGCCCTTCCCCTAGCGGAAAAGTAGCCAGGCGCGTCTTCATCTTACGAGGCTTTCGTTCTCGCGATACCGCATGTCCTGAAGGTCTCGGGCTTTACAAGACTGCAGCACAGGAAAGTGAAAATGTGGACTGCGTGGCCAAAGCTGCACCATCGCGTGGCCAAAGCACCCTTTTGTAGTGCCAAAGACCAATCGACAGGCGCAGTGGTGCGTAATGTTGTCCACAGGCAATGTGGCTGCCTTGGTCTACAAGAATAAATGAGTGAGCTTGTTTTGAGGTTGCAAAAAAAAAATGTCGGAGCCTGTTTACTGGCCCTTTAAAGATAACACTAAATACACTGGTGCGATGACAGTAGAACCAGGGGAGCTGGTGGCCTTCCACTTCTGCGTTCCCTGCCCCTCACCTTCCTTCTCTTCTATTTCCCACTCACTTGCTATACTGCAGTATAAATGGCCTTTCCCTTTCCAAACCTCTTGCTTTACTATACTATACATGATTACACTATGCTTTCACCTACCACAGTGGTCTTGTGGTTATGGTGCTTGACTGCCGGCCCGAAGGTCGAGGGAGTGAATCCCAACTGCGGTGGCCGCAATTTCAGTGGAGGCGGAAATACTTGAGATCTGTGTACATCGATTTATGCGCACGTAAAGAACCCCAGGTGGTCGAAACTTTTGGTACCCTACACTACGACCTCCCTCATGTTCATATCTTGGTTTGGGCACGTTACACCCCAATAATTATTACTATGCTATGCTTTCACTCTTTCTGTGTCTTTCTCTATATCTTTTGCTCATTCTTTCACACATAGCAACGTCATATTGTTTCCTTAAATGCTTGTTCCCCTAGTTTGCCTGGATAGCCGAGTTGATAAAATGATTTTCTTTGTATCATGGGTACCATAGTTCGAATCCCACGTCAGCGAGAAACTTTATTTCGCTCTCCTTATTTCTTCTTCTCATTCTCTCCACTTCTTTTTTCTCCTTTCATTCCTGTAGCGCGTTCCTAAGCTATACATGGTGGCGTCATTGCTCTGCAAGGTTTTTCTGTACACATCAAACAGCCTAACCTGTGCCTTAAAACCGCCTTAAAAAAAAAAAAAACTTGGAATTTTCGAAGAACTGTTTAACTCTGTAAAGAGATTCTACCAATGATTTTCATCGTCCGTGATCATTGAAAAGCGGCAGAAGAGATGGCACTACTACAACTGTTATTTGACATTAGAGGAAGGATATATAAAGTGCTGCTGTGGAATTTTGGAAACATTAATGCTAGAAGGTTAGCAGTTTGGACTGGTTAGTGGTCCATTACACTTTACCTCTGGTCCTTGCTGCTCATTTGTCATGTTGTAATTGTCAAGCTTATGCTGTAGGCCCATGTGCTCAGATTTGGGTGCACGTTAAATAATTCCCAGGTGGTTGAAATTTCCGGAGCCCACCGCTACGGCATCTCTCATAATCACATTGTGGTTTTGGGCCTTTACACCTCACATATTAGTAAATCAAACTGTAAAGCATAATAATAGAGCTGCTTCCTGTGAAACATCGTGCCGATGTTGAAAAGCCTGCTTAACATTTATCATTATTAAAAGGCATGTTCGAAGTTGCATCAGAGCTGTTTTGAGTTTAACATACTAAAAAAGTAGCTTCTAAGAATGGAGTAATTTAATTTTCTTGGCATTACGCATAATGTTTGTTTGATGAATTGTTAATACACTTATTATTTGTCCCCACTAACGACGTGATTTCATATCAGTGACATACACACTGCAATCTCAATCGTCATTCCACTTGTAATGTCACAGTTCTGATCATTCTGTTATCATCCATCTTAGCCAGTTTGTACTAGTAATGGCTTGAGGCTGTCTTCTTGAAGTCCTTTTGAATTTCTTTAAGTAATTACTTGAACTTTGCTAGAGCAGCACAAGTACAGTAATGTGTTCTCGGGTGTGGCCTTTCACATAATGTGGAAAGGTAGGTATACAAACACAGCTGCATTTGTACCTTGAGACAATTCTGTTCCTATTCATGATAAGACACACTAGTGGAAAGGAGTAAGGACAACATAAGTAAATTTGTGTTTTTCACCTCATCCTACTCTTGTTGGTACGTGCATATCTGTTATCTCTTTCCTTAAACCCCTGTTGACTTGCTCTGCTAACAGTCATTTCTAGTGCATTGCAGTAGATTCTCGTGAAATAGAACCTAAGTGGAGCTGGAAAATGCGCTCCGCTTAACAGGTGTTCGATTCATGGGGATATGAACAGGCTTGCAGAATTGAATTATGAAGGCAATTGTATTAGAAGCGGTTCTGTTGAAACAGCTAGTTTGTTTACGAAATTTGCGTTTACTGATAGTCTCTGCCGTACTTCTTGCAGGAGCTGGATTCCTACCTGAGCCTTGTTTCAGATGATGCTCTGGGCCTAGTGAGGCGAACGGATGAACGAGGCGGCATGTATAGCGTCAACATAGAACGTGCGCTGCGTCTCCTTGCGGAGAACGTCCTGGCATCCATAGTGCAGGACCGGTTCGGAGCTAAGAGTTGTCGCATATTCAGGTACATTGTTAGTGCTATTGCTTGTTGCTTTCGAGGTCTTCATGCCATCAGATCACTTTTCGAAACTGCAACAGCTTGCGCCGATATTATAGCTTGACATCAATATAGAACGCAGTAAAGAAAGTCTGAGCAAGTAATGTATTGCTTTGAAAGGTAGCTAGATAAGTGGCTTGTCTATCTAGTCAACGAACTCGACCAACTATCCTGTGACAAAGTACTTCAGCAAGAGAGGGTTTGTTCTTTCATTTTGTCTCTTAGGTCATTAGACTTGATAAGCCAGGATAGATGCAATAATGAAAAAAGATGGGAATGCCACCTTGTTCCTAAGCCAACTTGTAGTGACTTTGCTTATCTTCAAAGAGGTCTGCTCTGGTTTCATTTATTGTTAGTGAGATGAACGGAATTGTAATCTAAAGGATCTTGGTACTCAATTTGGACTAGTTTGAGAACTTGTGCAGCAGCCTAAATACTGTGAAAAAGTAGTTTCAAGTCTACGATTTCAAACTGGCTTACAAGTAGTGAGGTTTTGCCACAAATAATATACTTTTGACTTTGCTTTTTTTTTGCTAATAAGCCCTTTTCTGTGAAGTTAAAGGGGACAGTAAGGAAAAACAATTTTTGTGGTGCGTTATGAAATTATCTTTCTGCAACACCAGCACAAAAACGACCATCCTCTTCATGAGAAGATTCTCATAAGCCAGAAAGCATGCTAAAGGATAACACAAGTGTTGGCACTGCCTTGAAGCTCCCATGCTCACCTGTTATATCATAGATATAATGGTGTATGCTAGAGCCAACATACTGATTCTTTATTGGTTGAAATAATTACATCCTGGCATAAATTATCCATACAATATACATAAACATGGCAGGTCTCAGAAAATTGCAGTGACTAAATGTGGCAAAAGCACAAAACAGTGTCATAAATGAAGGAAAGAAGTGTAAATTTAAGGGCTCTCTTTGTCAGACCCAAGGAACTCATTTTCAGCGGCCAGCTCATAGTAAGATCATTTGCTATGTGACACCAACAGGTAAAAAAAGTGCTCCACACTCGCTGTACCAGCCACTGGCAGCGCCGGCTGACACCCCCATGTTTAAATGCACAAATATGCCCTATAAAGTGCTCCGAGGTACGACTGCCGCCATAGCTCTGTTGGTAGAGCATCGCAAGCATTATTTGAAGGTTGCTGGTTCAGTCCCTGCCCGTGGCAATTTATCCTTTCAACCTCTTTTCTTTTTTCACCTGTGCATTACAAGTGCTTTGAGTAGCATCCCCTATATTTTTCTTGGCTTCATTGTCAGCCAGTTCTCACTAGAATGAAGTCATAGTACCTTGAAATCTGTGACACTATGCTGATTTTTTAGTGTCACTGTGAGGACATAAAATTAAAAATGAAGCTTTGGCCTACATTTTCTCTTCTAATAACAAAGCTATGTATGTGAGATTAACGATAATGTCATGGGGGTGGGAAAATGAATGAAACAAATGTATTTACAAAATATACAGGGAGAGTCAGAGGCAGCTGCAGCCAAGATGGAGGTACAACAGCAACAACAGTACGAGCGCGATCGCATTCATCATCTTTGTCGTCTGCCTGATGCTCTCTCATTACCGTTCTCGTGTAACGTATGACCCCCCCGCCGCTAGTAGCGCCGTCTCGGCGCTTAAGGAGAGTAGCATCATATGCGGAGATTTATGGTTTCAGACAGGACACGTGGACGACGTCAGTGGCGGATGCGGACGACGACGACTGACTGTCCAACGGAGCGATCTCATATGCGACCTCAGTAAGCCTGCGTAAAACCTTGTAAGGTCCCAAGTAGCGAATTAAGAGCTTTGAAGAGAGGCCAACGTGGCGGCGTGGTGTCCAGAGGAGGACCAATAAATCTGGAGAGCAAGAAACTACTCTGTGGTGGCTATCGTAGCGGGCCTTCTAAGAGAGCTGCGAGCCAAGAAGACTTTCTTGAGCGATTTGGCGGTCCACTTGAGCCCGAGCAGTGGCATCCCGGGCGTACTTTTAACCGTTTGCGTAGTTGATGGGAGAAGAGTCTTGAAGGGTAACGCTAGATGGCCGCCGAACTATAAATAGAAGGGGGAGAAGCCAGCGGTGTTGTGGCGTGACGAATTGTATGCGAATGTCACATAAGGCAAAGTACTGTCCCAATCAAGGTGATCTTTGGAAACGTACATGGAGAGCATTGTTGTCAAGGTTCAATTTAGGCGCTCGGTAAGACCATTTGTTTGTGGGTGGTACGCCGTAGTGAGCTTGTGACACGTTGAACACGAGCGAAAGATGTCACTTACTACTTTTGAAAGAAATGAGCGACCACGATCGGTCAGCAGCTGTCGAAGAGCGCCATGGAGAAGAATTACATTATGCAGCAAGAAATCCGCGACATCAGTGGCACAGCTTGTCAGTAACGCTCGTGTGATAGTGTATCTTGTTGCATAGTCAGTGGCTACGGCTATCGACTTGTTTCCAGTGAGAGAAGTAGGAAATAATCCAACGAGATAAAGACCGACACAGTAGAAGGGGACAGTGGGTATGTCTATTGGTTGGAGCAAACCAACTGGTGGAAAGATAGAATGCTTGGAGCGCTGGCAGGACTCACAAGTAGCAACGTATCGGCGCACAGAACGGTAAAGGCATGGCCAGAAGAATCTACGCCGCACGCGATCGTATGTGCGCGTGACCCCGAGATGTCCAGCGGTTGGGGCATTGTGAAGCTGTTCAAGAACAGCGGAATAGAGTGTCGCAGGAACTACAAGTAGTAGCTCGGGTCCCTCGGCGCTAGTGTTGCATCGGTAAAGAATGCCATCGCGTAGAACAAACAAGTGTAGCGACGGGTCTGCTAGCCTCCAGAAAAGGCTGTAAGCAGGAGTGGGTAGTAACAGGTACAAAATGAAGGTAACATATACCTAACAAATCAACATGCAACAATTGTGTCTCATGAATCGACGAAAAGAAAAAAGTGAGTCTGTAAAACGAAATATAATGCATATACGCAGCGTTCCAAGCACTGGTGTCTGCCCTACAATGCCTTTGTGACTCTTTCTCTGCTCAGGCTTCTGCTTCAAAAGAAATATTTGGAGCAGAAACAGATAGAAGAGCTTGCAATGATCACTGCCCGGGACGCCAAGGAAATGACTTACAAAATGTTCGAGGAGAAGTTTGTATTGGCACAGGTACGCAAGTTCTTTCACCTGAATTGGCGTGTTTTAAATCAACCTGCACATTCGTTTAGAACTAACGTAACCAGAACGTAAATTGGAGCCGAGAATCCCTTCGTGGTTGCATAAGTGCAGGCATACCCTGAATTGTAGTAATTCGTTTTGAACAACTAGAAGCATTCTGTTTGTCACAATTGTGTGAAATCAATTTATTTATTTATTTATTTATTAGAATACCCTCAGGGCTTGTAGGGCATTACAGAGGGGGTGGGTACAACATATATAACACACAAGAAAAAAAGACAAAATAAAGAAACAAATATCAGATGCGCAAATCAGGAAGGCAACATAGGTCAACTAAAAATGTATAAGAATTCAAGCACATACAAGACAAAGATAGATAATGGAAACTGCGTATAGTTACAAGCATTGCTGAGAAATTGCAGTCTTGAATAACAAAGGGTCTGTTATTGATACAACGGAAGAGGGAAGGTGGTTCCAATCGGCGGCTTGATAATGTACCTGAGAATACCAGAGTAAAATTTGATTTCAGTCGAAATTTTGAACTAATAAAACCAAGAAAATAAATGTGGGTGAAAAATAGCTTACTGCCATTGGGAACTAATCCCTATTCTCCTGCTTTACCTATGCCATGCTGTACCAATCGGGCTATGGCAATGGCCACTTTCCCATCAGCATTTAGGGGCGTTTTCATATTTCAAAATGCAAGCATGCATCGGATTTATTTTGTAGCATATGTACTGTAAGATGCTCCTGGAACTGGCTGCTTTTTGTGAGGGTGTTGTGATTAGTGACATGCGCACACTGGGATCACTGTCTTCCATGCTTTCTGTGCAGGAACTTCCAAGAACTCCGGACTATGCTCCTTCCAGAATGATCTACTTATTTCACGTTGACATACCACAGGTATGGTTTGGTAAATGTAAATAAATAATATTATAGTCATTGCATTGCAATGACTATAGTCATTGCTTCAGTTGAAAGCTTCTATGAGGACAGGGAATCGGCAACGATTAAGGTAATAACGCAGTATACTATACTGATGGGAGACTTTAATGCAAAGGTAGGGAAGAAGCAGGCTGGAGACCAGGCAGTAGAAGATTATGGCATCGGTACTAGGAACGCCAGAGGAGAGCTACTAGTAGAATTCATGGAACGCAATAATTTACTGATTTTGAATACCTTCTACCGAAAATGAGGAAACTGCTAGTGGACATGGAGGAACCCTAATGGGGAAAATAAGAACGAAATAGACCTTATAATGAGTGCACACCCAAACATTGTGCAGGATGTGGAAGTGGTTGGCAAGGTACGATGCAGTCACCATAGAATGGTACGGTCTTGAATTCGTCTAGACTTGAAGAAGGAACGACAGAAACTGATACGCATGAAGCCAATCAATGAGCTAGCACTGAGAGGGAAAGTACAGGAATTCAGAGTCTCGCTTCAGAACAAGTACTCGGCTCTTAGTGATAAAACCAACCTTAGCGTAGATACAATGAATGATAATCTGACGAGTATCATTACGGAGTGTGTCTGAAGAGTATCAATACGGAGTGTGCAGTGGAAGTTGGAGGCAGGGTAGTTAGACAGGACACTGGCAAACTTTCCCAGGAAATGAAGAATCTCATTAAAAAGCATCAAATCATAAAAGTCTCAAGTACAACTGACAAAATAAAACGGGCAGAGCTTTCAAAGTTGATTAATAGGCGTAAGGTATGCGATGTAAGAAGGTATAACATAGAGAGAATTGAACATGCACTGAAAAACGGAGGAAGCGTCAAAGCAGGGAAGAGGAAACTTGAGATAGGCAAAAATCGGATGTATGCACTAAGGGACAAAGAAGGCAAAATGACTACCAATATGGATAGGATAGTTAAAATAGTGGAGGAGTTTAACAGAGATCTGTACAGTAGCCAAGACAACCACGACCTTAGTACTATAAGTACTAGCAGTAACCCAGATGACACCCCACCAGTAATGATAGAAGTCAGAAAAGCTTTGGAGAGCATGCAAAGAGGCAAAGCTGTTGTTGAGGATCAGGTAAGATCAGATCTGCTGAAAGATGGAGGACAGATTGTGTTAGAAATACTAGCCACCCAGTTTACGAGGTGTCTCCTGACGGTAAAAGTACCATCGTCTTGGAACAATGCTAACATCATCTTAATACATAAGAAAGGAGATAACAAGGACTTGAAGAGTTACAGGCCGATCAGCTTGCTCTTTGTAGTATACAAGCTATTTACAAAGATAATTGCTAACAGAGTAAAGAAAACATGAGAGTTCAATCAACCAAAGGAACAAGCAGGATTTCGAACAGGTTACTCAACAATCAACCACATTCATACTACTATACATAGCCTTCATAGATTACGAGAAGGCGTTTGATTCAGTAGAAATATCAGCCGTCATGCAGACACTGCATATTCAGGGCGTCGATGAAGTATATATAAACATCCTGCAAGAAATCTACAAGGGATCAACTGCTACCATAGTGCTTCATAAAAGAAAGCAACAGAATACCAATCAAGAAAGGTGCAAGGCAGGGGGACGCAATCTCGCCAATGCTATTTACCGCGTGCTTATAGGAGGTTCTCAGAAGCCTAGAATGGGAACAGTTAGGGATAAGAGTTAATGGAAAGTACCTTAGTAACCTGCGCTTTGCCGATGACATTGCATGGCTGAGTAACTCAGGGGACGAATTGCAACTCATGATTACGGAGTCAGACAAGAAGAGCAGAAAGATGGGTCTTACAGTTAATCTGCAGAAAACGAAAGTAATGTACAACAACTTCAGAAGAGAGCAGCGCTTCGAGATAGGTAATAGTGCACTTTAAGTTGTATAAGACTATCTCTACTTGGGGCAGGTAATAACCGCGGAGCCGAACCACGAGATTGAAGTAACTAGAAGAATAAGAATAAGGTGGAGCACATTTGGCAAGCACTCTCAAATTATGACAGGTAGATTGCCACTATCCCTCAAGAGGAAGGTATATAACAGCTGTATCTTGGTGGTACTTAGCTATGGAGCAGAAACCTGGAGACTTACAAAAAGGGTTCAGCTTAAATTAAGGACGACGCAGCGAGCAATGGAAAAAAAAATGGTAGGTGTAACTTTAAGAGACAAGAAGAGAGCAGAGTGGATTAGGAAACAAACGGGGGTTAAGAATATCATAGTTAAAATCAAAAAGATAAAATGGACATGGGCCGGGAATGTAGCACGTAGACAGGATAACCGCTGGTCATTAAGGGTAACTAACTGGATTCCCAGAGAAGGCAAGCGAGTTAGGGGGAGACAGAAGGTTAGGTGGGCAGATGAAATTAAGAAGTTTGCGGGTATAAATTCGCAGCAGCAAGCACAGGACCGAGTTAACTGGGGGTACATGGGAGAGGCCTGTGTCCTGCAGTGAATGTAGTCAGGCTGATGATGATGATGATAGTCATTGCAAAGGTCTTTGGGTAAGCTTTCTTTTGTAAGCTTAAATATGCAACCTCTGTGGGATTACATTCAAAGCAAGAATAGTACTTATTATATGCCATCGCATCATCATCCTTTCACGGTGCCTAAAACCGAATGAAATGCAGATGTTGTAATGGAATGCTGTCCCTCATTGCTGTATTTAAAAATTTGGAGTTGCTGCTTCCCAACAATGCTGTATTCAATGCTGTGCAAGGGAGATAGGCTAGATAGGTGTCTGTTGCATAAAAAGTAGGCTTGTGGAAATAGTAAATTTTATGTTTGAAACAAATAATGTTTTGTTTGTATTAGTTCCGAATAATTTTGAATAGTATATGTCTCACATTTTTTTTTTTTGATGAGCATATTTGTCAACTAACCTGCACAATACCTTTTTTAATTGAATGAAGAAGCCCTGTGCAAGTGCCATTCTTTTTGGTTCAAAGGAAGTGGAAACAACTTTAAATAGTGGCAGGATTTGATTTTTCATCGAATGATGATTATAAGCTTGAAAACATGTGGCGTTTTAGAATTTATTATACCGAGAGCATTTAAGCTGGCAGAAAATGTTTTTATTTTAAGAAATGATGCATCGATGTGTGAGCAACATGCCCATTTAACCTTATTAAGGTGAAGCTTCACCGCAGCTTGGATGTCTTTTGAGAAGGTGTGTTTTTGGCAGATCACCCTGTCACTGCAGGGAAGTTATTGTCACAGAGGGCTACATGCATTTTGTACGTCTATTTGTTCATTTCAAAGAATTCGAAATTTTAGAGAATGTATATTCAAATTGAAGCGACTTAAATACAGTCGCTGACCGATTTTTCAGACTCCAAAAGTTCGAACTTGTTGGATATTTGGGATTTCAAAAGTGCATCGTCAGAGTTCCCGTAGGGCTAATGCATTTTTGCGGACGAATTCGCCCCATTAAGTTGGATTTTTCGGGCTAAATCGATTGTTTTAGGCTGTGACACGAACCTGTATGAACGTCCCCATGTTGGATTTTCTGCCAGTTTGACTAAGCTTAGTGGCCTAATTTTAAAATCGCTTTCTTAGCTCCAAGATTGGAAAGCAAACGTCATATTTCAAATGTGGCAGCTTGGGCTAGTTCGTATGACATGACGATAGTTATAGCGCGAGAACAGAATGACGACACAGAGACATGAAGGACACGAAGAAGCGCCCGTGTCCTTCTTGTCTCTGTGTTGTCATTCTGTTCTCGCGCTATAACTGTCGTCATGTCATATTTCAAGTTTTTGAGGCCGTGTCTGCTTTAGAAAATGCGGCACGGGACCATTTTTTCGTGTTCGGTCAGCCATAGTGGTCAGCACTGTCGTCAGTGCACCGTACAGGGAGGAGGCGGAGCTGCGCAGTAGTTGAGTGAATGTGCCTGCCACGATGACATTAGGGAGTTTTAGAATAGGGCACCACGAGCCCTTGCGGTGCGGTCGCTGCCACTGCGCATGCATCAAACGTGAGTCGCCGTTCACAACCTGCCCACAGAAAATTTTAAACAGCGTGCGGCGATCGCGGCCTGCGAAGTGTTTTGTGTAGCTTTTGTTCATTTTGTGCGCGGAACCCACAGACGAAGAAATTATTCGCCAGGTTGTGCTGCAGCCAGAGAGCGGTTCGGATGATGACGACGATGACCGCCCGCAGCTGTCGGCAGCGGAGATCGCCACCGTGGTGACGCTTTTGTCAAGCATTTACGGGGATTATGTCACCTTGGCGCAAATATGGGCGACTCAAATTGCTTCAAAGCCTAGTATGAGGCAGGGCAGAATCATGAACTTTTTTAAGCCTGTCCGATGCAATAAAGTTCATATTTCTGACAAAAAGGAATTTTTTGGACAGTTCAGTTTTTTGGATCTTTTTTTGGTCCCCGCCAGGTCCAAAAAATAGGTTGGCAACTGTACTGTAATATTCGCTCAAATATTCGAAGCGCTTCAATATCCGCACAAGCCTAATAAAAAACTAACGCAAATCGAGGCATTGGCAATGGTACACAAATGTGCGAAACACATTTTCTTGGGACCGCTGTAACATTTTCATATAGACGAGAAAGATTAATATCAGAAGAACATTCTTGCAGTCAAGTGCACATGAACAAAACTACTGAGCTTCAGTTGCTGGGGGTGATTGTCAGCATGCAAGCATTTGATGCATGACCATCTCTGCCACTGACGGTGGCAAAGTTAGTATGGCCTGCGCAACGTGCTGTCGCATCATCACGTATTTGGGGGTGCAGGCCTCATGTCCTTGCTTTGCACTTGATTGCCTGCATAGCGATCAGCGCATGTCTGCCCGAGATTCGCCATGACTGAAGTGTTGAAGTGAGACATGGCGAGGAGCATTTGCTGTTGGAGAAACACACATGCTTTCTGCTTCCAATGCTCCTCCTCACGTCATCATCATGATAGATAGTGCTCACAATCTTTGAGTAAATTCTGTTCTTCATTCAGGAGTCGTACAGGTTTTTGTAGACGTTGAAAACCCTTGAATTTGAATAATATACTTTCAAAGCCCTTGAATTGTTCTCTACATAGCCATGATAATCCTCGAATTATGCGACCCTTCTCAAGTGATAGCTACTTTCTAATGTATATTAGTGTCAATCTGGCAAACTTTCCATTTCAGAAACAATACACCATGCGTAAATTTTGTGGGAAGGCTGAAGAGAAAATCACTGCCCAAGCACTCCGTACAGATGATTAGCCAGTTAAGCTGAAATGTGTGGTCACGGGTGGTGACAGATGTTGCACCCAAAGCCAAAAAGCTGCTCACGAAATTCTTGCCAAAAGCAAGCATTTGCTTCGTTGAACACAATCCCACAATTACCATGTTGACAATGCTCTGCCTGCAGCGTTGTTTCCTTGGCTTGTCATTATTGCTTGCGTTCAATCTCTTGAGTTATCTTGGCATTCTGGTTAGCTGCTTTCACCCACTGTTGCCTCTCTTGTTCCACATTGCAATTTAGCGCAGCTTTGAAGGCTGCCGAATCCTTGGTATGCAGCTGCTGCTTGTGCTTGAGCACCTGTGCCCAAACTTCAGTATCAGCCCGGCAAACACAAATTTTCTCACAGTTCAACTGCCGGTGCTGTTCTTCGAAAGTTGTCTGCTGTTCGGCAGGCCGTACACTGCATGGTAGCCTAACCATGTGATAGTTGTAAGTTGAAACTGCTGCGTACAAGCTTGGCGTCATGGCTAGGACGGGATGAACGACGTCACTGACATGTGAGCTCGGGTATGTCGTGAAGAACGGCGTAAATGATGGTGCAGCCATTGGAGAAGTTTCAGTGTGATGAGGACAGATGGATTTTCGTTTTGCCTAGCTATATACAGCTTTCGCTGTGAAAGTTTCGAAGACACGATCAATACATTCTTAGTTAACTACAAATGAAGCCACAAAACGTTAGAATTGAAAAGAAACAGAGCGGCAGGAACTGAGAACAGATCAGTAGACTGAATCTCATGAACCGTAATATAATGAAAGCAACCAAAGTAGTGTCCTAAATGGAGCATTCGCAGAGAGAAAAAACCAGTGCTCCAACTATGACCAGGTGGTACATAAGTGCACTGCTGCTTGTTGCGTCTAAAGTTATGTGCTAGGGCACGGCGTGCGCGCTTGTCAAAATACAGCTGGGTTCGAGAATGAGGCTGCTGGATGCTTTAACGTGGTATCATTACAGCGCATGCTTGAAGAAACAATCATGTGTGTCGTGATGAGAAACACCAGGAATACTTCTTTACTCTTTTGTTTAAGCCCTGCCGCGGTGGTCTAGTGGCTAAGGTACTCGGCTGCTGACCCGCAGGTCGTGGGATCAAATCCCGGCTGCGGCAGCTGCATTTCCGATGGAGGCGGAAATGTTGTAGGCCCGTGTGCTCAGATTTGGGTGCACGTTAAAGAACCCCAGGTGGTCAAAATTTGTTTAAGAAAAACTTCATTAGGTCAACTCTAAAACCTGTTCAGTTTCGTTAATTCAAGTTCATGGCAACAAAAAGCCCTATGGGTGTTTGCCGGAGAATTAAGAATTTTTTTATGAGGTCAAGAAATTCAGAAAATTGGGTTTCGTTGCATCATGCTTTCACAGTAGTATATAAGCTTCCTCTTAGTGGCATCACTGCAAAGACATTTTAATGCATGTGCAATGTATGCATTGTTCTGGTACAGCACTTCAGTTTGGCCCCACTCATCTGTTGTTTTTGACGCAGCTGAGCCGTCAGGTGCTGGAATGGTGTTACAAGGCAATGTCCAACATGATGCTGCGGAGGATGCACGTCACAGAGGAGCAAAAGCGACTTCTGGACAAAAAGCAGCGGGTGGACCTCATCTTATCTACCATGCGTCCAGAGAACTCCAGTCCAGAGCAGATTGCAGAGGTACTGGAATCATTTGACCTGTCAGCTGCTGTAGTATATTAGTAGCACAATGCCGCACTTGAGTTCAGGCAATTTAGTTACATCATAATAATCGAAATGGATCATATATCTGACTCAGATGCATGGTTTAGCTCAAGAGATTGTTTCTAAGGCCACATGGTGGAAGTGTCATTTCAAGTTGAGACATAGGGTAACTGCAACGAAATTTTATTACGTGAAAATTATTTTAGTACTCAGTAGCTACGAACTATTGGAGCAACCTTGGCAATGCTGCAGGGCTAGTAACTGTCCAAATTTTTTGTTAGCCATAGTTATAAAATACCTAAGCAGGTGCACATCCACTCTGTGACAGTAAACACGACACAAATTTCAAACAGTGGCCCCCAGAGAGCTCAATAGAGGCATTGTGCTGCTTTCCAGAGCTGGATTGCCTTTTTTTTTGTCAGTTTGATATCAAAATCGTGTTTGCGGGTGTGTGTCCGTGTTTTGTTATTTATTTTTATCTATCTCCCCTATTCTACAACCCCAAGGAAGGGTAAGCATCTAGTTAACCTCCCTGCCTTCCTTTTTTCCCTCTCTCTAGATATCAAAAGCAGGTTTGTCAGAAGTGTATCTGTTGGTAATCAGGGCAATAGACGATTGAAATTTTAAACAGTAAAACATAGAAGTTTGGTGAGGGTCTGGATACTCCAAGAGATGGACAGGCAAATTATCCAGCTGTATTTTCAGCTACCTCGTATGTACAAGAATATTCGGCTCAGGTATTCATGAGAATAAGATTACAATGACAGTATGGACGAGAATCGGGAAAATATGTGTCTGTGTCTATCTTTCCCGCTTTCTTTTTAGAATCAAAAAGCACCAATTAGCCCAAACCACCATTTGTCCACGTGGAATTTTTAGGTTCACAGAATGCAAACTTTCTTTTTAAAGGCCTTTGTCTTTGCCACATGTCCAAAATAAATGGGATTGTCGCGATCATCTAGAATCCTACTTTCATTGCCTACATTGGCGCTTTTACAGCTACTGTTACCAGTTTGTAGAGCTCACATTTACTGTGGATCTTTTCTTTTTTTGTTTTGTTTTTGAGCAGGTCAAAGAAATGGTTACACCCCCTGAAAGGAGGCAGCTGGCCTATGTCAGGCATGTCACATCTAATATAGGACTTGGTGAAGTACAGCTGGATAAAACCATCCTTGTATTGCAGCTCTACATTAGTTCGCTGTTGAAATAAATCATATGAACATTGCACTGACCCATAATTGCCTATCGTCTATTTTGTCTGTTTAATTGAAAATAGTATTTCAGCTTTTCTGCCAAGAATGCCAGAACTATTATCATCATGGTGTGTACACAATGTGCTTCCTTGACAGAAGATTGCCGAAATGAGAAATTGAATTTTTCCAACGTATGATTTGAAATAAAGCACCCAATATGCTATGTTCTCTGAGCATGGCAGTGTGTGTCAGGGAAGAAACAGAGGTAGCAAGTACAATAATTGATGTTAAGTTAAAGAAGTGGACCTGGGCCATTTACATAACATGTGGGACAGACAACTAGTGGAACTAACAGAAGAGTGGAAACATGGCCAAGGATGACATTGAATTAGACGGAGTGGCAAAATCAAGACATTTGCAGAAATAAAATGGAATCTGCTAGTACAAAGTATGGTAAATTGGAGATCATTGGGAGAGGTGTGTCCCGCAGCGAATGTACAATAAACTGATGATGATGCGATGTGTTGCCCACTGTGTAGCTGCAGAGTTTGCGTGCCACGGTCAACTTTCTTAATGATTGTTTTACCATCAGTCATGTAAATATCGAATATGTCATTGTCAATTCTTTTACTACTACCCAGTGGCATACGAAGGGGATAGCACTTAGGGAGCGTGTCCCGCTCCTGAAATCTTTCATTGCCACAATATACAGAGCACAAAATGATACTGCACCACATGCGCCTGCTCAGCCCCCACTTCAGATCAAAGATGTGACCCCCCCTCGTTCCCATTCAAGAAATTTCTGCCTATGCGCCGACTGCAATCTAATGACAAATTAGTTATAGCCACCTATCGTGCATGCAAACCTGTCACCCAAATGAAATTGCTCCTCCACATGCTCAAGCCAAATTCCAGAATATATATACTTTTATGTCTACCAAGCTCTATTGGACTTTTCTAGCTGGCAGCACTGCTGCAATCATTGACAATGTCAGCTTGAAATCTTGCACTTGACAAAGCCTGATGATGGTAATACATATAAATGCCTGTGCTCATAGAGTTTCATACAATAATTCATTCATTCACAAAACTTTATTAGTGCCCTGGAGCCTGGTCTTTCCAGACCGAGACGGGTCGCGTCCACGTCGGTAGTCAGGCCGAGCCCTGTAGCGTCATCGTGGACCTCCTGGACTGCCCGTAGCTGATCTTGACAAGACGCGCTTTGCACTATCTTCTGCTAGTAAAGCGATTGTTCTTCAGGGTCGGCGAGAGTCGCGGAACAGCCCGCCAACATGTGTCTGATCCCAATTATGCCATGGCACGCTCAACACTTGTCTTGAATTTCACCCTCAATGTGAATTTTATTTAGAAAATATGAAGTGGGGTAAGTGCCGGTTTGCAATAAACGTAGGGCAACTGCCTGAGCTCTGTTCAATTTTTTCGTGGGGCAATGGGAATTGCCTAGAGTGAAATCTGGCACTGCGATCGTGTACCCACATAGGAACTATGGGAAGTACAGGCTTCTGATTAGATTGCGTTAGCTAGCGAACTATCTGCGGATCCTTTTCTACAGTTTCAGTTTCGTTCTTCCGCAGTGTGGGTAGTGGGATGCGGTGCAAAGAACTGAAGCTGCTCTTTTGTTGTCCAAAGAAGCTGAAGACCACTAGGTTTGAAATTTACTGTGGCTTCAGTGCGTTATGAGTTGTATTTGACAGTTTCAGCGAAGCGTCGTCCACTCATCGCTGCGAACAGAAGTACAGTTCTCAGGCCAGTGCAGAATATTACGAGTTCACATATTTTGGTTAGCATGTCTTGCCAAAACTCGTTTAAATCGACTGTATAACGACAGTGAAACTAACTAGACGCACAGTCACGCTCCTCTGATTTGACTTTACAACAAAACGAGAGGTGCATTGCGCAGATCATTTGGACAGATGCACCTGGCATCGCAGCAGACGAAATGTTAGTGTTTCTCACTTGATACTGCGCTGTTATTTCCATAAATGAATATTGAATACTATATCCCAACGTCTTTAGTTCCAATCTCTGCCAGCACTGTACCACCAGAGCCACTCTTGACCATATCTTATGGAAATGTCCAGCATTAATCAGAAATTCTGGGGTGGTGGCCTCCAATGAAGACCTTTGGGCGCATTGGCGGACTGCGCTGCTCAGTTCGGGGCCTGGACAAGCAACTCTGGGCGATCCAGCAGGCCAAAAAAGCTGCCGGGAGACACAGTCTCTGCGTTAGCTCATAGGTGGGAGCCCTGCCCAGCAAAATCTGCCGGAAATCAATAATGTTTACTTCTTTCTCTCTACTTTCGAGAGCAAAACAAGAATGTTTGTTTTCAAATGTAAAAAATAATTCATTACATCTTGATGCCAAATCAGGAATGCAGTGACCGAGCAATGCATACCCTGATGATAATATTTGTGCAGGTTTCACTTCTCCCGGATAACCATAAAAATGTTTTTCAATAAAATTTATGCACAATAGAATAAAGCAAGTTTAATTTAAATATAACTTCATATTGCTTTGTTTTACACTCGGCAAATAAGCGTCACAAATCTCAAGAACGTTATTAATCTGAAGCAGAAAACCTGTACTTTCCATAATTCGCATGGGGGTACAAGCGCCGCTGAAGGAGCCTGCATAGAAACTAGTGCCAGATTCCCCTCTAGGTATTATTTTATGAAACTCTATGCCTGTGCTATAACAATCGCAACTACATTATTGTATTTGCTGCAAGTGTACTGGCCCTTCATGTAATGTCAGCCATAATATATAAATAAGGCTATTTCTGACAGAATACCAGCGCTGCCCTCTGCAAAGGGTGTAGTTGCAATAGCCTATACATACTACTGATGCTTCAAACTATGGCAATACTCAGGAGTAAAAGGAATCCTACAACTTGGAAACACCAAAATATGAAGCAAACAAAAAAATGAGGGTCGCATTTATTTCATAGCATAAGAAGTTGAAAACATCCGACAGCAATTTTTTAAAATTCTGACAATGAACAGGCAGTTTTCACTTTATTTTACAAGTGACTTTTGTTACATCGTTTTTAAAATGTTCACAGAGACATATAATCAATCATCTTCACTTTGTGTCTTTAAAAAAATCAAATAAACTTTGTATTTTCTCTAGCATCACTAAAATATACTTCACGCTTACGCCAGAAATCGGCAAAGCTAAACACGCATAATTTCAGTCTATTGCAGTACACTGGCCTCTGTAACAGTTGTGCCGTTCAAGTGAAAATCCTGCAATGCCACTGAAAACCCTGTGCGCTTTTTCGATAAAGTACTCTCTCGTATGCCACGCAAAGGCACCACACTGCCGTACATGTTGTGCGAAATGACAGCGCAGTATATGGACTGTGCAACAATATCCCACAGCGATAAAATGAAGAGCACAAAAAATGCTATCTTCTAGTACAGAAATACATCAGTATGTTGTATACACAGATGCTCAAGGCGCCATTGAAGGACCTTGCTCATTTTTGCAAAAATCTTTTAAAGCTAAAAAAGGCATAAGTGCCTGCAGTCAGTGAAAAATAATGCTTTGCTGTGCTGCAGTTCTGACAAACGTAAAAACTTGCCGTCAGCAGCAAAGTAATCATGAACATGACCTACTTAATGGTAAATGCTTCCACTACAGCTTTCATTGACCGGAAAAACAAAAGCAAAAATAAAAGCACGGTGCTGAAGTGTGTTATAAAAGATTGAGCCATGGCTCAATCACCACCATGTAAACCTTCTTTGAAGTTCGTGCATGTTTTTGCCTTTTCACACGGCATTCTTTCTTTGTCCATTTTACACAGAGAAAAAGCCACAGTCCAGCCCGTTATGCAGCTGCATGGTACTTGACAAAGGCCACAGCTGCAAGTTCTTTACAAAACTCCTCAAGAACGATGATGGCTTCCAAGACACTGGATTCATCTCCCAGTGCGGAGTCGTCACCACTGTCATTGAGAAGTGCATTGCGTGTCAACATGAGCTTGCGCTTGAGGTTTTCCATGCCATGAACTGCAACCTGAATCTCCTCCACAACCTTGAGGAGGGCAGTGAACAACGATCTCGCCCCAGGGGCCAAAGGAAGCAGCGGGTTCAACAGGTACTCGTGAAGGTTTGGATGGGCAAACAGCGCGAGCCGCGAGATGAGGGAGGTTACCAGCAGGTTCACATCGTACGGCTGTCTGTGCATGTTTTCAATGCGGTCCAACAGCATGGACAGAAAGGGACCTTCGTAGTACCCGTGGTGAAGGCTGTCAGCCTCAGGTTGCGAATCAGAGCTCTGGTCGTCCTCGGCACTGGGCGGTTCTTCTCTTACGGGCTCGCTAGGCCACTCCCAACCGTCGGTGACTGCAAGCATGTCCTGGTACTGCCGGTGCGCGTCAGAAATGTACGCGTCGTAGCCAGAGTCAGTCTCCTCGCACGACTTTATTTCGTCGGGCAAGAGCATTAGGAAGCAATTGAGAATGCGATGAATCTGCGCAGGCGCGAATGTGCGGCTAACTGGTGACGATCCGGGTGAAATTTCAAAATCACTCATGTTTGCCTTACCCACACGATTGCACAATCCCTCCTGGTCGTCGTCACTGAAATCAAAAGCTTCGGCAGCGACGTCACTTTGGTAGTTGCGGCCAACAAGGTGGCTGAGCAGTAAGCTATCTAGAATCTCCTTCGAAGGCCTTTGCAATAGCTCTTCAAAGGCCTGAAGGGTGGTGAGCACAAGCTGGGGAGAAGCGTTAGGATCCCGGCCACGCTCCAACAGCATGTCCTTTGGTGAAGCACTGGATCCCTTCTGTTCACCTAACAAGAAGCTTCCGACAGTGGCAACCAAGTCTTTTGAATTAAGATTGCGCAAGCAAGTGGTGACTAGTGAAGTGATGAAAAGGAAGCTCTCTTCAGACTCGGCTTTGGTGAAGTCGTCGAAGAGAGGACCCTGTAGAAAGTCTTCCAAGAATGTCTTGCCTAGCTCAGCACCTACGATGGCATTTGACAGCTCAACCAAGGTGTCCGTGAAGCCCAGCCACTTAAAGAAGCAAAGCAGTTTCCGCTTCCCAGGTGCCAGAACTTGATGGTCTGCTGAACCACTGGAAGTAACGGTATCTGCACTCCAAGAAGTCACAGCTTCGTCAATGTCGGCTGCTTTCAATGTGTGAGGTATGGCACAATAGAGCTTGACTAGGTGAAGAATCACACTGGAACACATGTTAGACTTGGCGATTACGTAGTGCGCGACTTCGTCGCCTAGGTTAGACATGCACAATATAAGGCACTCTGCTGCGAGCGTAGAAACGTCAGAGTCGGCACTCTCCATTAGGGTGAGGCAGGCCCGAAGCAATGGGAATGACAAGGCAGACGTGTCACCACAGCTTCCGTCTGGTTGCTTTCCATTTGGAATGGACGATCGATGCCTCTCTTCATGCACTGTTGGTAAGAAGCAAGTGAGGATGCTGGGGTCGGCTCGGATTTTCTGGCATACGATGTTAAGAAAGCCAGCCTACAAAAAAAAAAAAAAGTGATATGTAACATCAACGTGTTTCTGTGCTGCACTACAACGTCGCAATTATCGCCGAAAAGTGTGCGCGTGAACATTAGCTCTTTAGATAGATTTATATACTGTCAAAAGGTAACAGGGTGTTAGAATACAAGGAACTTTTAAATACCTTAGACTGATTGCATTCCCGGATTTATGTTCTCGAAAGAATTGATGACCCCGATTCATACCTCTTCTCGTTCCGTAGGCGCAGCCAGAACCTCGCCGCAAAGACCGATGAGCTTTTGGACGGCAGTGTAGATCCCCATCTGCGGCAACAACACTTGTTTGCTGTTGGACAGAAGCCGCGTGGTGAACACAAGGACGCACTTCTTGATTCCGGGGGGAGTGTCCGCTCTCGACAACGCGCTCATTTGTTCGAGCATCTTGTGCTGCAAGAAGTGCTCCATACATGGCCCCATGTTTTCACTTCCAAGTTCGGCTTCCTCCTGCTCTAGTATCTTCGACATTTCTTCGAGGCGCCCGGCCAAACCTGTCAGCTCTATGGGTTTCTTGCTGTTCGAGTTGCGGTCGGTGTAGAACTTCATGATCGCCGTCCAATGCCACTGAAACTCCTCGTGTAACGGAAGCGGTGGCGCTAAAGCATCCACCGCATTAGAAAATGCGGTGGCTAGCCGAGAGAACATCTTGATGCGGGGCGGCTACGTTAGCGAGCGCTTAAAATAGCCATCTGCCAAGCTGCGGCGACAACCCAACACGACGGATTTACGTGTCGTTGCCACACAGGGTACCTGGCCTCCTCGACCCATCTCTGCACCGAACTGTACAAAATACTTTTGTCGTTAGAAGAGAGGCACCGCAGCAACTAATACGGTCAGGGACGATGAGGAACAGCTGGACATGTGGAAAAGTCATTTCTTTCGCGCATCAGCTGCACTCGTAAGCAAATGATCTTCGAAACCGCCATGTTAACCGGATGCTGCCAAGTGCGCAGATAACGTTTCCGGTAATTAATAGTTTTGAAACAAAAGTTATACTTTATATAAGCCCACATAAATACATAAAGTAATACAATAAATTATTTATTGTTTCCATTATATTTATTTTATTTAGCTTACGCTCACATATTTTAGCCTTCAGTGCGGGGTAGCGCGTGCTCATTAATGGCTATCGCCTTATCCATATTGTGTGTGCGCTGCGAATTGTGAGTGGCAAAGGCCTTCCCGCTACTGGATTTCTCGAAAACAGTGTTCAGGATAAACGGTGAGTATCTGGCATGTTGTTCTCGTGCTGTTCCACATGTAAATGCAAAGTATGAAGCGTTGTTTTCCCCCCTGACGACGAGGGCAAGAGAGGGCATTCTCCCAGCCTGCTGCCTTTCCCCGCTGGTGTATGTGTGCGTCCCCGGTCAGAAGGAACCTTGGCGCCTCGTCGCGAGCGGCACTGAGGCATTCGTGGTCTACGCAACACTTTAAACAGTTGGGACAGCTGGCCACGCTTTTCGGGATACGCTGTGTAGTCATGTGTCGCATTTCCCGATGTGTTTGAGTAGGATTCGGTCGCTGTGCCGCTCAGGAATGCGACGAAAGGAGGGGGTGGGGCGGGAGCGGTCAGCGCGGTGAGTGGTTCCGCTTCCCACAGTCCGCGCGGGCTACGATTCTCATGACGCTAGATGTGTCGCGACTTCTTGACCCCTCTGTGCCAAGTTTCGCTAAGTGTCGCCCGTGTTTCGGCTAACCCCTAGATTTAAGTGGGCAAAAAATACTCGATGCCGACAGTAGCCGGCAGTCACCCATGCGGAAAGCCGAGCGCTGCTTAACGCACTCCCACCAAAGCCAACGAGATCGGTGGCGCTTTCCTCTTTTTGCATGATTTTCGGCGTGGCGAGTGCGCAAATAGGCTCGCTGTTGCAGCCGCCGCCAAGCGAAGGCGCTAGGCGGCACTCAGCGCCCTTTACAGAGTTCGCGCTGAGCGCGAGTACTGGATGAGTAGGAGGAGGGGGTGAAAAAAGTAAAAAGAAGGGCTTTCAGCAACAGGCACCCCGTCTCCTCCGTGGTTCAAGGTCACGACGATTAGCTCAACTAGCTCTGTTTAGGACACACGGAGCTCCTCTGCGTTCCCGGAACATCATGCCTTTGCAAAGCGTTAGCTGCGGCCGGAGAGCGCGTCGTTCCTCGTCACGTTTGCGTTTACGTAACGCAGGAGGAAAGCGAAAGCGTATTCGCCTATCCTGCGCAAGTGACAACGGCATTTGAAAGAGATCGCCACAACTGCATCTACGCTGTTCTGTTTCACCATCTATCGTTTGGTTGAAACAGCCGGGATGCATACCTGCACACTGGAAAGTTTCAAGAAATATTCTGTTTTGTAGTACACAATTTTGCAGTGCTACGGGTGTCGCTTTTGGCTCTGCAACGTGCTTTCACAAAAGTATGCACTTTTTTTTTTATTTCTGTGTGCTGAGCAGCTAAACGGCGCGTATGCTTGGCATGAATGGCTTGGCAGGCGTCGCCTACGGAACCTTTGTGATATTCCTGCTCGGCATCTAAGAGGCGTATCGGCCGCAGCCAGTCGCGTACAATTTTCCTCCTAGGAAAAAGAGAAACGAAATTTCTACTTTCCTTTCTCGAGCCTCTCGGATTCCTTGCGCATTTGTCTTGTTTGTGAATCGACGGGAGCACGTGAACGTGTTTTCATTCAGTTATCCATTCGCGAATTGTTTTCATCACGGAGACGACGTGATCGTGTCAAGTCTTGTTTCTTCGTAAGAACAAATGGGCAAAAACAGCTCATAAACCTCCCTGCGTAATTCGTTTTGGGCGGTGCGTAATTCGTTTCGGCGGTAGCACATCTTTCGTCACACTGTAGACTTCTTGCGTGCTCTTTCTCGCGTGGCTGAATGCCGCAAAACTAGTGTGTTTTGAAATGAAACTAGGTTAAATTGGCATATGGTTAATGACGCCTACGGATTACTTCAGTTTGTAACGGATTCCTCCGTTCCCTTGACCTGAGGTTGTAATTCAAGACTGCAGTCACCGCTCCCCGACCGCCCTCCTCTATAGTTTTTTTTTTTTGTTCTCACTCCCTTTTGTTTTCAAGTTTCTCGAATAATACTGAAACTAATACTCAGACACAAACGAAAGGATCACAAGGACCAGCGCAGACTTACAGCTGACCTTTATTCAATGAAAATGCTATACATACTCGTTACAGCACCCTATGATCACTGCGCCATAGTATATTCCTTTACATAAATATAATCAAACCTTTGACAGAGATGCTGCACTGTCCCGTATTGTTTAGCAAGTCAATTTCGTTGTCACCAAGCTACACTGATGGGTGGCTGACACATATGCCTGGAAATCTAAAGGTATACCGCGCTTCTACACTCTCTCTTGTTGACCGATTAGGGTGAACATACGAAGCATGTACTTTGATTCGACAAAAGACTGCACGAACGCGAAGAACAACGCGCACAGCGTATTTCAAGATGTGTTTCCGGCCTTCCCTTCCAATTGGTAAAGTGCTCTTTTAATCTCACATTCAAGCATCGGCCACTTTGATCGACATAACAGTGGTCACATTTGAATGAAATCTTGGTAAACTAAATTTCTGTCGCACTCGACCCCCCCCCCCCCCCCCCCCTCAGTGATTTGGATGCTTGGAGCATTTATTACCGATATCTTTAGGCCTGTCTTCACATAGACCAGCCAAACCGACTAGCCCGTCTTTTTGTGTTCTTCTCGAATAAGTTAAAGGGTCTGCACATACATTTGGAAATGATAAAACCGTGTTACCGCCTAAGACACGATAGACGGGGCGCAGTAATTAGACAGATACATATAAATGAAACAATATGTTTAGAATAACGCTTTATGCTATGAGAAATCTAGTCTCGTTAAGGTCATTGTCATAGGTTAATTAAAATACTGAAAAATCAGCGTCAGAAGTATCACTTCGAAAATGTCGCGCTGAAGTCTCTGGGGTGACACCACGGATTTGTCTTGCTTGTTTTTCTCTTTTTTGTTTTTTTTTTTGTTTCGCCGCACTAGCTAGACGAAATTTTCGGGAACTTTAAAATGTGAAGTTTCTGGCTCCCTTAAAACAAAATGCACTTCATTTTTGCCTATTATGAACTACGTAGCTACATTCAGACGCCGTGAAAAAGAAGTCATTCCTGACGTCACGGCGACTGTTGCGGTAACATCCACGTGGCGTCGCCACCTGCATTTTGTCGCTTACTAGGCGTCTTTCTCAAAGGTGTTCGCAGGGTTCTTCTTCAAAGGGTGTGGGTGAAAATTCGCCGTAGTCCCCCCTCCCCCCCCCCCCCCCTGAGTCGCAGTGCCCCCCTTCTCGGGTGAGCGGGGGGGGGATGCCCGCCCCCTCTGCTCCCCCCGTGCGCTCGCCAATGGTGTTTCTGGTATCGTGAAAGAACAAAATACTGATACGAGAAACATTGTTTCTTTCAGTGTTCTTTTGAATAACGATTAAGAATGAACACCCGCGACTCTTCTGGAAAACCACGAACGGGCCGACTACTTCAGAGTGTGTCTTCGAAGACTGGACGATTATAGTTATTGCTTTGTTGTTTACGTGTGTTTCGCCATTTTTCAAAACGCCTTGCCCAAAGTTTGCTCTGCGACAGTGTAGCCGGTGTGACCAAGTCTCTAGCGAAACCGTTAGTACGCTGCGTAAAAATAGGCGGCATCTGCCCAACCCGCAAGGTCAGTCAACCCGAAGTGTTTTTGTTAGCGTTCTCCGGATCGTTAGCGTAAAACGAAAGCCAGCTCCGGACGGAAGTGTTTGCTTCCCACAACACCAGGCTTACGTGTAAGTTTATCCTCTAGTTAAGTCATCGCGGGGGTCTCGTGTTGCTGAGCTGAAGAGGAAGAGATCATTTTGCTTTGTCGCGCGAGCACAGGGATATATGCTCCACTGTGTTCGATTACATCAACGCAACTAAAAGATTACCGTGCTAGTGAACCCTAAACTTTTCAGATCTTAAGTTTATAATTCGTAGCTATGTCTGTCAAAAACAAGAGATGGTTTGACCGCTTGCTCAGCAAACATTTTTGTTTATTGGTAGTATTATTTACAAAACTACTTTTTCAGATTGGCTTTATTTTCATTTTAGTTTCATGTAAGTATCCTGCCGCCCGGTTCTCGGCCCATCCCCCTCTGTGGGTGAGCGCCATCCATCTGAGGTCATCAGCATCAACATTGCAGCCGCAGTTACATCCGGAGGAAACAGCTACTGGGTGGGGGACACTAGACATTGCCACTTGAACTGTCTGTGTTCTTGAGATAGTTCTTTCCTTGGGAGAAGGTTGCGGGATCAAATCCCGGCCACGGCGGTCGCATTTAGATGGAGGCGGGTCGCTGTAGTCCCTTGTGCTGTAGTCCCTTGTGCTGTAGTCCCTTGTGCTGTAGTCCCTTGTGCTGGAGTCCCTTGTGAGTTAGGCACACGTTAAAAAAAAAAAAAGCCAGGTGGTCGAAATTTCTGTGGCCTTCCGCTACGGCGTCTTCCATAACAATATAGCGGTTTTCAGACGTAAAAGCCAGCAATTATTTGTTATAATATTCTTGCCAGGAAGACATGCCAGAAAGGCACGCAAACGCGAAAGTCTAGTGGTGACGCCCCCCCCCCCCCCCCAAATCGAAATTTCTGCGCCCTAACTCAGTGACGTCATGAATTCGGCTAACACCAGAACGCGCGTAAGTATTCGTTTATTGAAAAAAAAAATTAATAGTGGCTACGTTACGTTTCAGACGCACCAATGACTCATCCCATAGAAAGTGTCGAAAACTACTATTGCTACCTATGAACGGTTCCGAAATAAGAAGATATATTTATAAACGTGTGACTTCACACTCGCATGTCGGTGCTGTGGCGCGAAATTTAACCGAATTAAAAGTCAACCTTCATTATTTTGCCGAGAAAAGCATACTTCGTCAAACTACCGAAACTATAGCTCTGTTATTACCTGGTCTGTTTGACCTTGGCCGTAATTGTTATTTAACAGTTCTCGAGGAATGTTTGAGCCAGGTATATAAACTGGCAGACTCCGACCAATTAGTAGCACTCTTATTTCTTCCTCTTTCTTTATTCGTGATACATACTCAAAAGCACGTGCAGGGCTGTAGGATTACGTTAAGCTCGATCAACGAATTGAACGACCTATAGGTGCTTCTTGTGTGGGGCTGTGTTTTTTTTTTTAATATGGTGGCGCGTCGGGTGACTGAAAGTCATTCACTATTCACAG